GTTTTAATTATTAAACAGTGATTGATTTATTAAACAGTATTTTGATTGATTATTATACAGTAAATTGAGTTATTACTTAAACTTAGGGAAGGCTATCTAAAATTCATCTGTATCACATCAGCAATACAGTGATTACCAAAAATAATCCAGTGTGAGAAAGGAAGATATTTTTCTACTATTAAATCACAGTTCATATGCCATAATATAAGGTAAAATCCCCAGCAAACATATAAAAAGCTGACCTCATAGATTTGTAGATATACAAGAGAGCAGAGACAAAGCACCAATTTCCCTCAGAAAAAAAAGGATATTTCTGTTTTGTGTACTCTGATGTAAACAAAAGTTGGCCCAGCATTTTGCCCCAGATGCATTTATTAGTACCCCTTAAAACAACATTGTATAGTATCCAGTCTTTTTTAAGGAGTAAAACAGCAGCAGGCTGGAAGGAGGTGAGGCTGGAAGAAAGCAAGGAAGGTAGGAGCTCACAGGGTCAGTCAGGCTGGGAGAGGACACTGCTCTGCTCCACTCTGTACCCAGCTGCCTGGGGTACAGCCCCAGGCCCTACAGGAGAGACCTTAAATATCTGGAGGCCCTCAAAGATCAAGTACAACTTCTCAAGGTCAGATCTACTGAAACAGTGGATGAATTGAGACAGAAAGATTTATAGAGGTGGCATTTTGTTCATCACAAGAGGCTATTAAGGCAACTTGGTAACCATGGGTGAGAAGCAGAGCCTCAAGAGAAAAAAAATGGTTGAGACATAAAAAAAAAGGGAAGAAATAAACAGCCAATTCTTATTACAGGATAAGATTAATAGCAGGGAGTGCCATAGGTCTTGGTACCAGGACCACTGTTACATAAATTTCCTTAAGAACCAAAGCCATGAAGAAACAGGAGCCATGAATTTAAAAAAAAGCATTAACAGTAGAAAATGAAAACAAGTGAAGGCTTGACTCTACTGCCATTGAATTGAATGCACAGTCCAGCAGAACTGGGTCTTTTTTTGACCACAGCTATGTTTACGAATGAGAATAAGCAACTCTAGGATTAATTATTAAGAAATAGGTAACTAGATTACTAATACATTATGGAATGTTAAACTACTTCCATTCAGCATTAAGATTTAAATTTATGTAGCATTTTGATGAAAAAACAAACACGGTCTGATGCAAAGAAAGTGGAGCAATCTGATTCTGTGCTTTTTGCCAGGAGGTCTATTTGTTGTGAAAAGAACTGGGAACAATACAAGTCCTGAGTGGTTGCAATGCAAATGATGCAGTCTTAAATGCAATCAGTAAAAATCAGTCAAAACCTACTTTTACGATTTATTTACTTAGACAAGGGTAGAGCAGAGTATCAGGAACGTTATCTATGAAACACCCTGAAATGAGGACAGAGATATTTTAATTGTTTCCTTTGAGTCTGGGAGGATTGTGTGTGCATTACTTTCCTGCAGGATCTGGCCGTTTGACCAAAAACTGCTCAGAGCAGTACCTGACTGCTTTCCCAGCTACAGTACCTACAATAATGATGCTGGGCATTCTTGAATGACCTTATTTAAAGAACATTATTACTCCTGATAAAATACTCACTCTGTATGACCCCAGTAAGGCACAATGAGTATAAAGACTTAATTATTTTGTTTAGTAATTCTGTGTCCTGATGCCCCTTCCCAAACAAGTATGCAATTAATTTTATATAAAAAGATTTTATATATTTTTGGTATCACCAGCACATATTTTCAAGAAATCACTGGCTACTTGATCAAGCCACCAAAATTTAATTATCATCCCTAAAAAAACCCCAAACAAAACAACAAACACAAATTAACAAAGAAAAACACACACACACACACACAAACCCCTGTTCTAATGGGAATATAACTACCATATAAAGGGAATGAAGAGAGTTTCAATAGAAAGCACCAAAACAATCCTGAAGAGATACCAACCATTCACACATGACCTTGACAAAAGTCTTAGTATTTCAGTTACAGGAAGAAAAGCCCTTGTGCTACTGAATTATAATCAAATGCTATAGAGAGTGGCATTTTCACTCCTCAGACTTAAAAAAAAGGAAGTGACAACTGTCTAAGTGAGAGCTTCCTACTTACAGAAGTAAGCATGAACAGTTCAAATTATGCATTTTTCTTCCAAAACCTGACAAGGATGATACTGTGTATGCCATTTTGACAAGTGATAATTTTTGGAGGACCCGGCTTTAGGTAAACACCAAGTATTCTGTAGTTAAGAAACTGTAAGAATATAATTTTCTACTATAGTACAAAGTCTCACCAACAGATTCTAAGACACATGTAGCTCCTATGGAAAATGTGGCTACATCTGTAACTTCTAAACAGTGTCAGGTTTTGTATCAGTTATTTGCCATGCAATTCTAAAACACTAATCTTAGCAGCAAGATAGTGCATGTATCCTTTTCCTAATGCAATCTACAGCCACTGTGAGGTAATGTACTCTCTGGGGCACAGATTTACCCTTGAGACAAGCATTAGGGCCAAAATGCCAATTCATTTTAGACTTAAGCCTACTCCAGTAGAAAGCAGCCTTTGTAATGAAAATGACCATAAACACGCCTGACCCTCTGCAGGTGAATAATGTTGGCTAACACAACAGATAGCATTAAACCATTGCAAACAGAAGGTTACTAGCAGTTTTCAGAATCAGACAATATACAAGGTGCAGATTATTTTTATCTGTTTATTAAAACTTTAGCCATGCAACATATTTCTAAAAAAAAGGTGAGCTGCCTTATAATAATTGCTTGGTTTCTCAGGCAAGTCAGCTTGTTTTCCATTGCTAGTAGACTGGTCTCCTTGCCAGATACAAGACACTAAGAATATGCATCTAAGTAGATATGAGATTTTGGATGTACACAATTTGGCATGTTATTCCAAGTAACCCTTCAGACTGAACACACATTTTGCATACTCCATGGCCTCCTCTGGTGTAAAAATTTGTCTTTCTCACTAGGGATTTTAATGGAAATGGATTCTTCTCACTAAGAACAGTTTATACAAGAGCACAAAGCCCCAGAAAGTGAATGGTAACCTAATTAAAGACTTAACTTCCTTCCTCACATCTTCCCTTTTGCATCAAACCTTGACCAACTTACTGAACTTCTATACAAATGACATGGAATGCAAATGGCATGGAAACACATTAAAAAAATGAAACCATACAAAAAAACCACCATCACAAATACCTTTTGATAACTGAAGCCTGAACATGAAGAGATAATTTTGACAGAATCCTATTCCAAGTGTGGTTGCACTCTCTTGAGTCACATGTTCTGCACAAGAAACACATTACCTATCTCCTAATTCAGCTCTCAGACACTACAAAAGGGGTTTCCTCACCTCCAAATAACTTGTAAAGCTATCTGAGCTGCCTTCCAGGTGGCACAACTGGACAGTTGAAACCATTGTTATGCATATTAAGCATATTTATCTCTCTGAAGCTCTTAGAAAGATTATCTAGCAACAGATGCAACATCCATATCTATTAAAGTAGTCTTTGAGGCACCATATAACAATTAGGTCTGCATGCTTAGAGGGATAAGAAATGCCAAACAATTCTTAAATCCTGCAGAAAATGGCCTTACAGAAAATGCATTCTCATTTAAGAAAACCTACCTCTACTTCATAGCTAAATTTTTTTTTCACTGCAAATATTAGTTAATGCAGTAAGACTGTAACAAAAATAAGCCATTAATGTGGAAAAGAGAAATTAAGTGAGAACAGCTACCATAAAGATCCCATTGTGTTGGGCTGCCTATTGTGATTTTTATAGCTTTTAACCACAAAGCAAGAGTGACAAGTTTCACCTTTTTTTTTCCCTCTCTCCTTTTCCTATCTATTACAAAATCTTCGAAGATCTGCAGACTGTATAAAGCAGTATGTAAAGTGTTACTCCAGCAAGACAAATAAGTGAAACCAAAGAATTAAATCCTGCTCATTACAACACCACCACTCTAAGTCAAGAGAAGCCAAGAGAAGTTCCTTGAGAGTCAAGAGAAGCTCTTGGAAAGCCAAAAGTTACTGGGCCAGAAAATTTCAAACTTGATTTTCTTGTATGCCACTATCCATCTACTGTGGTATGACTCCAGGCATAAGAATAAACTACTCAGAACTTTCCAGTACAGCAAAAGGACAGGGAACAGCTATTGGGTGGAGAGTACAAAGGAGTCTTTCTGCATGTCTGTTTTCCAGACAGTTTATTCTACCCATAACCCAAGAAATGCATTACAACCTCCAATAAAAAGGTGGTTCTGTAGACAGTCTGAAGCACAGTTCAGCATATACTGAAAAAATGGACATAAGACAACCAAGTCCATTCTCTAAAAAAGACTATTTACATTATTTTTTTCCTCAATTTTATGAAAATATCTCCAAGAAAAGTAAATTGGCAGTAAGTGTTAAAAAACAACAGCAATTTTTGAACAACATAAGCCATTTTGCTCACTACACAGTGACTGTGTAAGAGACAGCTGCATCAAATATTCCTGATTCTCATCAACCACCATTCCCTTGTGCCTCACAGATGCTGAGATTCCTACGCAGGATCTCTGTTGAACAGGCGCAGTAAGGTTAATTCTACCATGAGAGTCTGCTCTACAGAGAGGTCTGCTCCCAAGCTTCCTAAGACACTCCCAAGCCGCCACAACACCGCGCCCGGCCCGGGCAGGTGCGATGGGAGCGGGGTGTGAGCCCCGCGCTGCCCGGCAGGCCCGGCTGGTCGCGCCCGGCCCGAGCGCGGAGCTTCGCCCGGCAGCCAGGGGCTCTCGGAGGAGACCGGGCCCGCCCGGCCCGGCGCGGGCAGCTCGGCAGGCGGCTCCGGCCCCGCCGCCCTGAGGCGGCTCCGGCTGCGGGCCAAGGCAGCGCCGAACCCGCCGAGCCGGCCCGGCCGGGCCCGGCGTGACCCCCGCCTCTCACACCGCCTCCGGCAGCGAGGCGGGCTCCGGGCGGGCCGGCCGCCACTTACCGAGCCCCAGCACCGGGATGCTGCGGCCGCTGGCGACCGGCACCGCGGGGACACCGCCCGGACCGGGGCTGCCCGCCCATGCCATAACCCGGCTGCGTCTGGGACTACAACTCCCGGCTGCCCATGCGCCTTAACGGCGCCGCGGGCAGCCGGGAGCTGGGCGACAGGAGCCGGGAAACGGGCGGCCGGGAGCCTGGAAACGGGGAGCCGGGAAACGGGCGGCCGGGAGCCTGGAAACGGGGAGCCGGGAAACGAGCGGCCGGGAAAGGAGCAGCGGGGAGCCAGGCTGTCCGCGGACCTGCGGCCCCCCGGCCGAGCCCGCTTCCGTGTCCCGGCTGCGGGCGGCGGCGGCCGGGCGCTCCCCGGCATGCTGTACCTGGTGGGGCTGGGCCTGGGGGATGCCCAGGACATCACGGTGAAGGGGCTGCAGGCGGTGCGGCGCTGCCGCAGGGTGTACCTGGAGGCCTACACGTCCGTGCTCACCGTGGGCAAGGAAGCGCTGGTAGGTCTGGCCGCAGGCCCGAGGCGTGCTGGGGCTGGTGGGTCCGCGGGAGAAATCGGCGGGGCCCGCTCCCGGGGGAAAGATATACGTGACCTTCACGTACTATGGTTTCTGGGAGAAATTGGTTTGCTACTGTGCAAGAAGACTGCAGCAAAAATAAAATGGACCTTCCTACAACTGTTGGCAACTAGTTTGCATGTCAAAACTTACCAATATGTGCAAACCCCGAGATACTGCAGGACTTAGTTAGAAAGTGTCTAATCTGTTTGAAAGCAACAACAACAAAAAAACCCACCCAAAAGTCATACCAGATAAACACGTGTTTTGAAGCCCTGCACCTCTGTATCAGCCTGAGGTGTTCTGGCATATCTGCCGGGAATAACAATTTGTTTATGTCACATTTTCACGTTTCCACGTTTCCACATGGGCCAAGCTGCCTCACCGGGTTGGGATTCCCAGAACAGGCACAGTTCAGTCAGAGATGGGCTGTTGGACAACATGGAGATAAAGGTTTTGTTAGTAAACACACCTCATGGAAGACAAGGGTACTAAAAATTTGCTAATCGTAACTCTGAGGAGGTCATCGATGGTCATAGAAAAATGAAGTTTAATGCTGAAATAATACAGAAACAACATAGCTGCCCACAGATCAGAGATCTTGCCTCTGAATACGCTGATGCTGTCTGGGCCTTGGTGCTGTATGGCCACAATGTACCTGTATGCAGAGCTGCAGATACATAGAGCATGTGAGACCTATAGCTTGTAATAAGCATTATGTGGTTTCCATGTACAAGGTAGGCTAGGATATTTGGAGCATCTCTGGTTTATCTGCTGTATGCAGATATGCTCTGTAGTTTATGTTTCTTTTCAGTACACTGAAGCAGTCTAAATTGCAGTCACTCCATTGAAAACAAAATGTTCTTCTTTGTGGTTGTTTGATAGTTGGAAAACTGCTGAATGGAAAGGATTACTTGGAGATTTTTACTTTTCAAAATGAGCATTTGCTATCAGTAGAAAAATTAATGGGTTCCTATCCATCTGAAAATCTAACACTGAATAATAGGAAACTGCTGATAGTTTTTGATGTGGTTATTTTGGGTTTTCTTATCATATATTTCTTACTGCTTTAAGTATTTTGCAAACCTTGAAATACCAAAGATGAGACAAAAAAATGAATAAAAACAAAGATGTTGTCTTACCTAAAACACCTAAGAGGGAATATAGGATTTAATAGCCAATTGTTTATAATACAGCCTGATTTACATACAAGTGACAATGCTGAATCGTTTATTTACTAATCTGAAGGTCATTCTCTCCTAAGCACCATGAAAATTTAGAGGAAAACTCTCAAGAAGAGCAGATCTTTGCCTGCAGAGGCTTCCCAGAAATCCTTCTCTGTTGATGGTATTAAAATCAGGTCATAAAATTCAAATGACAAGACTTGCTTGTTTATTGGGTTGGCCTAAAATGTATGTTAAAGTTATTTGATGTTGACCATCCAAATTGGCCCTGAGTTTGGTGAAAGAACTGTTCGGACCCAGTGACCTCCCAGTGAGTCTGCATTTTACTTTTTTTATATTCTCTACTTAGCATGCTTTGATTAGCATTGTGGAGCAGTCTCGAAGCATGCAAATAGATTCCCTTGGATGAAGCCAAACTGAAAGTTGTGTTCCTGGGACTGCACCCAATCTGTTCTGGGGCATGTTCACAGTGTTGGGCCAAAGCCAGGCTGGTGCAATGGCAGCCCATGGAAAGGGATGTGTGGTGTTATGGAGTGCTCTGCTTTACAGCCCAGCTCCCCTTGTGCTGATGTGCATCTGGGCTGATGTACCTAATGAAAACCAGTGGGGTGTCAAAATTTGCTGCTGCTGGTTCAGTACAGATCAGTTTGCTGATTAGTTGGTTCAGTACAGATCTCAGCATTACTCCAGGGTGACTGTCAGTGGTTCCAAATCACAGATACAAGATTTGCTTACACATTTATTTGGTCCCCTCTTGAATCTGTACAGGTTGCAGTCTGCTTCATGAAGAAAATAATATCCTGATTTTATACAGTTAGGAATACCTACTCAAAAATGGGCAGAAACTCATTTTCAGGGAAGGGCATGTAACCTGGTAACAGAGGTCCCATACCTATTACTCTCACTGTGGGATGGATTTTTTTATGGAAGTACCACTCTACCTCTGTACAGGTGTTACAGTTCTCTCATCAAGTCACTGTTCTGTGTGGGCAAAGAAGTCACAGAAGTCAGAGGAAAACCTTTCTGGGTGATAACTGACTTGATTTTTTTTTATCAATTTATTAATATTTGTAATACCACCCAAATTTGCTGTCGCCTACTTAGAACAAAAACACCTTTCTTGATCTCTGCCCCAGAAAAAAAACTTTAGTCATGTAAAGAGCATGTAAAATGCATGGTGACATGACATGGCAGATGTTTTCAGTATGATCAGAAAACATGTTCTAGAACTAACTGAAGTTTCATTTACATGTGTGAAGTTGATTCTGAAAATAAAGGCATTTAAAATGTACAAAGAGACACAATGATTACTGAGCTGCTAAAGAAAAATTAAGGACATGATCAAATACATGTTTACCTGTATATTTGGTAAAGTACTTCTTAAAGAGAGCTCAAGATGAAGGATTAATATGAAGTCATTCCTTAGATGTGGTTAGCTAAAATGTACTAAGGAAAAATGTGAGAGAACAGGTTGTGATGCAGCCAGTGTGGTATTTGTACCTGGTTTGGTGCCAGTATTGTAAGTAGCCTAAGAGCTAGGCTCAGGCTGGGAGAGGGGGTGCCTTACAGCAGCAAGTTAAATTAACTCTGCCTGGAGAACACCCACGTACCCTCAGTGCAGGTGGGACTGCGCTGCTTTAGGCGCAGCTCCTCAGCTGACACAGAAAGCATGGAACACCAAGTCAGTATCAGGATACAGTTCACATTCACTAATTTTTGTCAGCTCAGGAGCTGCTCTATGGAAAGCTCAGGTGTTCTTGCAAGCAGAGGTGAGGTTCTCCCAGACATGGGGCAGGCTGCTGGGGAGAATAATGGAAGTACCTATTCCAGTGTCCATTGGCTGTGTTCCTGAGTGAGCACCCAGAGACATACAAAAACATTCCTAAGTGTCTTATTTTGTTGTTTATTATCAATTTCAATTTATAGGAAGAGTTTTATGGAAAAGAATTGATTTTGGCTGACCGAGAAATGGTGGAACAAGAAGCAGATAGCCTTTTAAAAGAAGCTGATGTTTGTGATGTCGCATTTCTTGTGGTTGGTGATCCATTTGGGTAAGACAGAGCAATGTTTTAATTATAGCTTCATCACTTTTTTTTCAATAGGAAGAAGCCAACTCTGTAACTGTATTTCTCTATGAGGGAACTGATTTTCAGACCAGAAACACTTTTTATGTCTGTATATTCCTTTTTGTATTAAAAATACACATATAATTGTCTACACTTTATCTTGCTTTGGAGTTTCCTTGCCCAGATGTCCATTATAGATAGGAATGTAGACCCTCCAGGATGTATGAATCTTTCCTTCAGCAGATACTTATAATTTCATTCATTATCATTTTATTCTTTGTGCTACCTTTTATAACAAATGCTTTGCCTCATGATTTGTCTGCTAACAGAAGAAATTCTGGGTTATCACATAAATAAGATATGTGCTGTTTTGGGGGAATATTCTTTTAGTTGCTGTTTGCACTTATAAACTGCAGCTTTTATACTCCGTTGTTTTAGAATCAATACAGATTATTGGTCGTATCATTTGCTTTAATATATGCTAGTTTTTAAAATCACTTACGTCTTCTGTTGATTTATTAGGCCTTTTGTTTCCACTTTTTATTCCTGATGGAAAGTATAGTCTTTTTCTATGACCAGAAGGATCTCCTTCTGTCTCTTTGGTCAGGCATCATCAATCTGTAATGTCAAGCCATGCAGAAGAGCTTTTAATCTCCAGCTGGTGATGCAAGATTTATACCACAGTGGTAAGGGGCACAAGAAAAATGAAATCTGAGAACCTTATTTGTGAGGGAAAAAACTGAGTTTATGAAAAAAGGAGCAACGTGCACATCTGTCAAAAGCTGATAATTTATTTAAATATAGGTTGAAGGCAATTGGCAAGTGAATATTATATTTAACTAATTATGGGCAGATGACCCTGTATTTCAGAAATATTAATTATACTTGCAGTCCATGTTTACATTCAAACTAGGATTCGTGCAGAGTGTAGAGGCATGTTACCTGTATCCTTGTGCTGTGATCCAGTGACTGATACAGGTACACAAGATGAAAAACACAAATCACATGGATTACATGTAGCTGCAACTTGTAAGCAGTATTCTGATCTGCCTCAGTTATCATTAGTTTCAGTGTCAAAATACTTCAGTTCTGGTTAACATACTAGGTTATTGTTAGAAACTGCCCCTTTTTTGAATGTTTATGTTCTTAGCTCTTACTACTGCAGCTAGAACTGCTCCTATGCTCACATAGAACCATAAGGATTTAGGGGTTACTAGGACAGAGGACTGAATGTTTCTGTCCTAAGAGAGGCCAGAGGTGGGGGAGCAGGACAGAAGCCCCTTGCATCTGATCACAGACTTTTAAGTATATTTGCAGGTGAGCAGAGTACTTGGCAGCCACAGGAGATGCCAGGTGTTGATGGTCAAAGTGATAAAGCAGGCTGTGCCCTGTTATCCTCACTGGAAGATTTTATCTGTGTGTGGTTACACCCATGGATGGATGTGCTACAGAACCCGACAACTTTAGTAGTGCAATGGAAAGTCCACCACTCTAGGCTGGTGTTAACATTCATATTATTGCTACCCAAAAAACTTAACCTCTGTATCAGTGACAGAAAATACTGCTGCAGTTTTGGCTGTGAAGGGATGGAGAGATGACTCCATGAAAATTTTCCTGGTGTTAACTGAGTGCCCATAAGGGCATTTCTGCCTTTAGCTACAGTCATTATAGACAGATCTACTGGGAGAAAAAAAATACTGGCTGGAGCAAATTTCAGTGAATAAAGCCAGCTGATCCCTTGGTTGGTATTAGCATAACCACAAAATCCTCCAGTGCTCCTTGTCCTTTGTATGTGCATGGAATAACACAAGGCTGTAAAACCAGTCTGCTCTTCTCTTAGAGTAGACATTCTTAAATCACCTTTGCTTCTGGAAGTCAGGAGCAATGTTTGTGTAGTAACTAAAGTATTGGTTCAGATCACTTTACTGCCTTCTCCTAGGTCTGGGAGCCTCTTTGTATAAGGGTGTCAGATTTCCCAAATTCACATTCCTCATTTTTTTTTCTTCCACTGAAATTGATTTCTTTTTTAAAATATTGATCTTTACAGCCTTGCCAGCTGCTGCCACATTTGTGTTCCAGTCTGAAACACCTGATCTGCTGACTGGGTGCTGGTCAGACACGCAGCACCAAAATTATCAGGCTAGAATCAGGGGAATTCTGTTAGGGTAATTGAACAAGGCCAGGGTGAAAGCAATTTTCCTAGTTCATTGTTCTGATGGCCATATGTTATTTCTTTCCTTCCTTCTTTGGAATGGCTACACAAAAGTGTGTGGTCTCACCTTGGGAATGAGATGATTAAGGTCATTGATCCAGTCTAATAAATTTAGGCAAGTGTTAGGTGCATTTTCATATTTTACATACATATAAGCATGCATACAGGCAAAATACATATGTAAACATTGTTGCAGTTCAAAGATTTGCTTAATCTATGTGTACTGACCATTTTAGAAAGGCTCTAATCTCAACTGCTTAAACTGCAAACCCAGTAATTCTTGCGGCTGTCAATCACTGCAATGTGTTCAGTGAGCATTAGATCTGGAGCTGAACTTAGCTCTGTTTGAAACTACAATATTCTTAACTCTTTCAGAATAAACCTTATCACTCATATTTCGGCATTGTTAATTTGAGTAATCTGGACTAAATATTAGAAAAATTGATTCCGTCTAAGGATGTTTTTTCTAAGTAAACATGCAGTTCCTCTGTCTGTTTGGAGTTCTTGTCTGAGCGTGGAGCTTTCCTGGCACACACTGGTGCAGATGGGAGAGGGCCTGGCTGTGCAGCCAGTAACAAAATCCTGGAGCTTTGTGGAAGTTTGTGCCAAACAGAGTTGACCTTTACAGTTCAATGCATGTTCAACAGACATCTGCAGAAGACAAAGGATACATGGAACTTTCCTTTCCATGTACTTGCCAAGGCTACTTTATAAAGTAACATTGTAATAGTGTTGCAGTTTTAATGATGCCAGAAAGCTGCAAAGAGCTGTACCATACTGATGATGTCTGGCATTTCAGCTGGGGAAGATGAGGTATGGAAGCCTTACTGGAGTTTTTGTTTTCCTGTAACCACTAGGTTATTGTTGCCATTTTTCCACCTCTGCATTTTTCTTGTTGTGAAGGATTTAATTTTATTTCAAAACAAACTAGAGTGATAGTAACACTTGACAACATCATGTTTTCAATGTTTAATTCCTTCCTTTTCTTGCCACAGGGCCACAACACACAGTGATTTAGTGCTACGTGCAGTAAAATTGGGGATTCCTTACAAGGTCATTCATAATGCTTCAATAATGAATGCAGTGGGCTGCTGTGGCTTACAGGTAATATTTTGTATGTGTATATATGTTGTTTCACAACTGCTAAGCTTAGAATTGATAAGCTCTTCTACTGCTGTGGGAGTGCATGTTGCAATCCCAACTTTGAAGATCTGTACCAGCTGTACACATAATGTTAGAATTTTTAACACTTCCTTTTAGCATGACACTTGTCAGCAAAAGCCCCTTTTGATGAGCGCATATGAAAATGAATAGTAACACTTCTTTTCTGCTTTCTAACTTCCTTCAGCCCCAGGAGCCTTTGATATTTAAAGTTATTTTACAGATAAAGCTTTGCTCATGTTGGCTTCCTTCTACAGGTATCAGGTAATACCTGATACATTTAGTCTTAAATAAGGTTGTTATCCTGTAGAGAACTATGCTGATCTTGTCATATAAGAAATACATGCACAAGCATGTATATATGTCCAACTCAGATCATAATTCTGAAGCCTTGAATATGATGCACTCTTTCTCTAATAAATTTGATCTGTCTCCACTTTCTGCCCATCTGATGAGAGCGGAGGGATTTACCTAGCCAAGGACTAGTAAAACAAATGAGTTTTTGTGCATCTTGAATAGCTAAAGTAGAAAAGGTCTAGTGTTCCCCAAGAAAATACTTCCTTTTACACATGTATAGGTCCATTATTATTTTTACTGCATGAAAGATATTGTGGCAGTGTATAAATCATAACTAATCACATATAAATTAGATGAAGCTTCCCCCTCTTGTTTTCACTTTGACATAGAACCTGCCCTCTCAAGGTTCAGAATGATTCCCTGTGTATGGGACCCTGAAACCAAGTTCACACTTTACAAAAGCCAAAAGTAAGCACAGGAGTGTAAATGTACTACAGACAAGTTGGGGGCTTGAACAATAACTTTCCATCACTGAAGGAGGAATTCCTTCCTAGCAATACACAAAAGAATACAATTTTTTTAATTTCAGCAAACACTTGGTACCTTCCAATTTCCACTGACTAACTCCAATACTCCAAACTCCATTCAAATAATAATGCTGGCCAACGGCAGAAAATCTGTTGCAATGAGTTTGGGTATTATCTTTGGTTTTGGTTAGAAATCTGAGCACCCTGTCTCACCTGGCTCAAAACCAATGCAGTGACACCTGTCCTGTTAGCTAATGCTAAAGGGAATGCTGCACAGCATTCACACTCTTTATAATTCTTCTTGTGAGCAGCTTCTTAGTGATACCTGCCTATTGCTGCAAGACTTGGGCAAAATTATCTTTTGGGAAGGAAATAGGCTTCTTGGTGTCTAAAATCTACATTTGTGTTTTGGTGTCTAAAATCTGCTGTACAGCAGACAGCAGCTGTCGCATGACTGCACTTACTGGGGTGGGTAAAACAAGAGTTGTGGCTGGGGCTCACCCTTCCTCTTTTGGCTTGCTGCTGGTGCAAAGTTTGCTTCTCCTGTCAGGCTGTTGACAAGTAGTTTCTACTACTTGCTCTCTTCTTTAATGTTCTCTTACATTCATGAGGGAGGAAGATGCAAGGCCCAAAGAGATTTTTTTAAATTTTCTGAAAGTTTGCTTCCCTTGCAATTTAACCAGACATAGGAAGGAGCAGTATAGAGTTTTTAGGTTAATTGAGAGAAAAGACCAGAAACCTAACATGAGTATACTATAAACAGTCCATAAGGTTATTCACATATGCAGAGTTTTGGAGATTAGATTGCTATTTCCTTATCCCATGCTGAATAGAGCAGACCATAAAGGAAATGTGATGTTATTCACTCTGGCATTAGTCCCCTTTTCCATTCTGGCTTGGGAGGGGCTGCCTTCTCCTAAATCCACATTCCTGTTGTCGTATAAGGCATTTTAGGAAATAGTGATTGTATTACCAGGCAGAATATAACCAGTTGTATATTTAAGTCTTGATTGCTCTTTAGTGGTGTAAACAGCAAGTGAGGTATATTTTACAAAAAAGTAGTCTTTGAATTAACTAGAGTTGTGTTGGAAGTTTATAGTTTCTTTCAAATCCTCTACATTCCGTGGCTGTCTCCTGCTATCAATTTAATTTTGGAGTTATTGTGTCTCAAATTGTAAAGTTCCTGTCAAGTATAGAAGGGATTCCTCTTTTGCTTCACCACAGAAAAGGCTTTGCTTTTTTTCTTGTTTTAATCTGATTGTGATACAAACCCTTTCTCTTTCTTAGTAGAGAAAAACAGGAAACACCTTTATACGCCATTCAGAGAGCCATGTGCGTAGCGAGCTGTAACTGCTGATTAGGCCATCAGTGAAATGCAGCTACAGCAAGAACATCTCTGGTCATCAGAGCAATGTTTCTGTGCAGCCAAAAACATTCTGGTACTGTGCAGTTTTCCTGTACAGTGATTTAGTGAGGTTGGTACAGCATCAGTGATGTTTTGTTACCTTCATTCCATAGTTGTAGTTCTTGCCAAATAATAAAGAGGGGTGCATATGTATTTTCAAATACTTTTTTTTAACTGTCCTCCTCATTTAACAGAATTAGTGAAGCTGTTTTGGAATACTGAAAAAAAGAGTGGGGCTTTAATTTTGAAAATTAAACTTCTTGGAAGCTTTCACAGACTGATAAACTGTGGTGGTATAGTATAACTTTGCAAAGTGGTAGTCTGACTGTGCATAAGGCTCTGTGATTTGCTGTGCCTCTCTCTTTTACACTGTTTTTGCTGTGCTTCACTGTAGCAGAATTTATCTTTCCAAGGCTGAAGAAGCTGTTTTCCCTTAAAAACAAATGTATACAGTTATGGGGGAGAAGCCATGAAACCTATTCTTATGTCTGTGCCTCTTAGCATGTTCTCTGCAGGTTCACCTCCCTTGTCTGGAGTCTGCCACGTGGGTGTGTTTGTCACTCTGACTCCTGTTGTAGTGGGGAGCAACCACCAGTGAGGACAGTCAGGCACTTTGGTATCACACTGCCAGGGAAGCACAGGCTTTACCTGTGCCCACTCTGTTTTTCAGAATAGGGCTGATCACTAAGGCTTTTAGTGCTAGAATAAAGATGCAGGAAAATTAGGATCTCTAATTTGCATATTTCTCCTTAATTTCTAATATGCGTGACATCTGGGTTGGTTTGGGAAGGTCACTGACCACAGTGGTGCTCTCAGGACAGAATTCTCTCTCACCCAGGGCTGGTAGTGTGTCCTTGAGGTAGAACTATTGGTGATCAAACACGTCTGGAAGATTCTGTATCATTCTGACCTGGGGTGCATGTGAAGGAATGGTGCAACTTGAAATTGCTTGAGATCATGGCATTAACATAAAGAAAGAGGATTGAGAACTGAAGTGCAAAGCTGGAGGCCAGTCACAGGATGAGATAAAAGGCTAAAATGAGATGCTTATTTTGGAGTGGTGTTGCTCGTTTTGAAAGCATTTGGTTGGTAGCTAAGAAAAAAACATGTTACAGCAAAGAGCTGCCTTTCTTTTGAGATGTACCCACTTTCCACCTGAATAGCTTCAGAACAAACATCTGCATGTGCCCTTGTTTTTTTCAAGTGACACATCTCGGGTTTTTTGTTTGCAGTCCACTTAATTCTTGTAAGACACAGTTATAAAATAGAAAATAGCCCTTTTGCTAGCAGCTGGTCACTTAAATGCAAAAGCAATGCTTACTGTGTTGTTTTTGCAGAATAGGTGAGTACATTTCCAGTGTCAAGTTGAAAAATGTTACTTAAAGATGAAAAGGTGAAGGATGCTATCATTAATCACTATGCTCATAGTCAAATAGAAACCATGTAGTAGCTGCAGGAGTGGAGCCTCTGAGTCCCACCCTCTCTGTGTGCCCGAATATTCAAAAACACTCTGCTCTAATAGGAGGGGCTTTACACAAAATTTACTGACTGTTAAACTGCTTTCTATCACTGGTTATTTTTTCAGTTACAAACAGCTTCTTAGCCTTTAAGAAGTTGGCATTTGTTTCTTAAGCCAGTGAAAGGTTAAGTCAGTGCTAGTCACACTATTTAATTACTCACAATTGCTGTCTAACTTAGTGCCATTTGTCACCAGCAAACATGACCCAGAAACATCTATTTAATCAGGTTTGGGAGTTGGTTTTTTTTTTAGATATGTTCATTTCATATTAGTAACCCAAGTCACCTTCAGGGCAGGAAGGAAACATTGCTTGATATTGACAGAATGAATCTTAGAAGGTTTTTAAAGATAAGGTGGCATTACCTTGCGGGGGCGAGTCCTCTCCTATTCAAGTTTGCTTTCTCAGTATTTTGATAGCTGAATTTTGTTCTGCTTGTGGAGTGGCTATTTCCTAAGCAGATCCAAGAGGCAGCCAAAGCAAAATGTGCTTGTCCCTTCAACTGATTTTATGTGATTTGTCTCAGCTGCCTTCTGAAGACTGCAATTATGTGGAGTGGGTTTCCCTCAGCCAAATGTGTTTTCTTCACAGGTCCTTTCTCTCTGGCATGTACTAAGGGGACTGGGAGTTTTTGGGACAGCTGGGGTGGTTTCTTGGCTTGCAGTACAAAAATGAGTCAAAGCACATATAAGTGAAGGTTAAACATTTCAGTTTCATGTGAGGTTTCTCACAAGAGGCATTTGAAGTTGTGAAAGGTCTTGGTACTAAATAAGGTAGCGTAAAGGGCTAGAGCTAGGTTTGTGGTTGTTTCATATGACCAATTCCAAGCAAAAACAAAGATTGAGTGATTCTTGTTACCTCTGTTGATGATCGCACTACTTCTTAAGCTGCTATCAAGCAACAATACATAATACAAAGAAGAGCAGGAGCCCTTTGTTGTGTGTGGTCTGGAGGGTTGAAAAACCTGACTCAGGTTCCTTATCTTTGAGGATGAACATTGCATAGCATCATGTCAGAACCCCTGTGACAAAGACAAAGAAAATATACCTTAGCTTTTCTGGGTATGTTCTTTGGGATCCATCAGGAAGTAACCTGGGATTATGCAAGGTTCTCTGCAGTATCTAAATCCATTGAGGAAAAGTCTTAGGAGAAAAAGCCTCTTAGTTCCTACCAGTGGGTTGTGATTAGGCTGAGAAGAGTCTGAATTTCCATAATTCACCTGTGCTGTGAGAACCATCTGCAGTGTAACCTGTGACCAGAGCATAGCTCCATAGCATTTCAGCCCTACCAGGTCTCAGGTATTTGGTTGTGTATGGTGGCATGTCTGAAGAATGCAGTAACTCCTTCTTTTGGGAAGAACCCCAGACATGTGACCAGTCCTGAAGCTATTTGGAATGTTAGGAAAGGAGATAGATTCCTAAGTGAAAAATTGCTGTGTCACCATTGAAGCTGATACAGCAATAATTCTGGGAAAGATGCTGTAAAAATAGATGTCTGTGTTTTGAAATGTTGACTTCTTGGTTTCTCTGCAGCTGTTGGCCAACTGACCTTTAATATTATTTTGCATCTTCTCTCCTGCTTGCTTTAGTACTTTTTAGAGGGGTTGGTGGATCTTCCTTTTTTAATTTCCCTATTTAGTCCCAGCTTGTTCCGTCTTTTATGCCCTAAATTTTTGTGGTGATTGACTACACCATGATTTCAAGTGAGGACAATTGATCAGGACAGTTTCATGTATCTGATATCATTCAGACTGGTCTTTAACAAAGTAGCTCAGCAGTTTCATTGAAATTCCACTTGCATGAAGACTTTCTAAGGTGAGATCATGGTACTTTCTCTCACAGTTCATTCTGGCCTCTCAATTTGCAATCAATTCTGCTTGTGTAAAGAAGTAAAGTAAGAAAAGCATTAACAGAAAGGTTAAAATACTAACAGAAAACAAGCACCAAAAGTTGTCAGTCATTCTTTCATATCATGTGTGTAAATAAAATAGGAAGTTATATGGTGTTCTGAGGTGATGTAACTATGAGTTGAAGAACAGCTTTCTGCAGTATTTTATGAGGCAGAAAACTCTAGCAGCAGGGCATTGCCTCAGACTAGAGTGCTGGCTTCCTTTGCTGACCTGAGCTATTGCATTGCAAAATTTGAGTGCACAGAGTTTTGCTTAAGCCAGTTACTACTTGGGGGGAGGGTGTGGAGAAAGGGGTATTTCCAAAGACTGAGGTCTTTCAAAATGACCTTTTGAAACTTTTCTGTGATGTTTTTGAGCATTGAGGAGAAGGTAAGAAGTTTGGTTTCCAAGCTGAAAACATGAAGTATTTGTCCAACCATTTCACTGTGCCCCTTTGAAATTCTGGCACTTTTGAGCCTGTGCAGAATGCAGGCACTTTAACAAATCTGCTCCTCAGTGCAAGTGTGATGCCTCAGATGTTGGGGCTTGTATAAACCACACATTGCCCTCTCCTAAACCCCACATGCTTCGTGTAGAGTGCAGCATACAGAAGTTGGCTTTGAAATTTGATTTGCTTTTGCCTCCCTTTAGAGCTGTGCCAGCCACTGTACAGCCCGATCCCATCTGCAAATGCACACAGCTCATCATCTTACTGAACTCATGAACAGTCCCAAAGCATGGCAGTAATCCTTAGTCGTGTTGTAACACTCCTTGGTTAACAAACATGTCAGTTCTATTTCAGTGAGAAGCATGATTCCTGGGATTTTGGGACCCTCTGCACCCTTTTATGGTTGGTGGAAAGAATGCATTTTAATTTCAGTGGGTTTTGTCTTTAGTGAACCTGCTATCTTCTGTAACTCCTGAATCCTTGGGATAGTAGTGCATTTTTTGGCATTTACTGCTCTCTCTGTTGTAAGGCGTTTCTTTAAAGTCAGATACTTCATGCTCAAGTGCAAAAGGTGTAAATTAGAGCACAGCAGAAGAAAGTAAATTAGGAACAAATTGAATTCTGCATGAGGTACAGGGAGAGCATTTAAAGTGTAAATTCTGATACAGTCATGTCCTTCTTAATGCAAGCTTTCCCTGATGAAGAGCAGTTCCTGTGTTTGCTTAAATGTCACACATCTGCAGAGATCAAATACTGGATGAGAAAGAAATATTGGTTTGTGTCTGTAGAAGTGTTTATAAGGTAATTGGTTATAAGTATTCAAGCACAATAGAGGTATCCCACTTACTAGTTTAGTTCCTCAGCATTCAGATTTATGGTGTACCAGGGACTTTCCAAAGTAGTATTCCTCCCTCTGTAATTTAAAGTAAGAATATGTACACATTAATCCTAGGAAATCTGTTCTTCACAAGTTTAGTTAGTAGAGGGGTATAAACTGCAAAAGCATTTCTAGGAGGTTAATAAAATATATCCTATTCTATCTTATTGGTATAAAAACTTACTTCTGTGCTTTCCAGGTGCTGAGAATACAGGTGTATTTTTTTTGAGACTAAGTACAGTTTTCTGTGATATCAATTCTTCATGGAGGTATTCTGAAGGTATTTCTACTGAATAGACAGGCAATTTTTGACAAAAATGTTTTACTCTTTTTTGATATCCAGGCTTCAGTATTAATGCAAAACCCTGTAAACAAAGGACAGATCAGTGAATGACTGGCAAATCTTGTATAAAAAAAAGATAACTTGCTTAACTTCTTGTTGGCAAAGAGGATGGAGAATCTTTGTAATGAGTAATGGAAAAGAGAATGATAACAATCAGAACTAGCACTGTATGATATAAAGATGAATGTCCCACTCATTCTCAACATGTGCAGAGTGGTTTAGGATTCTGATTCCCAACATAATACCTCTCAGATAATTACATTTTTCCCATTTCTGCGTATCCTTTCCTTTCCTAAAGGGCAGAGGGGGAAGTTTTTCTTCCTTGGTTTATCAAAATGCCAAAGGGCCATGGTAAGATTTAAGGTTATTTGAGGCCACTTTCTGTCCTGAACAAGGACTGCTGCTTTAGAGTGGTGGTTGCAGTGGTTTCAGGTGCTGATGGGGAGCACTTAGGTTGGTATCAGACATTGCAGCACTTCTGGAAGATTGCAGGAATGCTACCAGGGAGGTAAAGGTATCTTGCTCCCAGATGCTCTAACAGTGAAGGGGAGAAACTTCTTGTAATAATAGTTTTTCTACAGATTTGGTACAAAATGGGAATGAGTTCTAGGCAGCCACATGAAAAAGAGGCAAAGCATAGTTTGATTTTTCATTTTCTAGAACATAGCCTTGAAATAACTAACATCAGGAAAGTTACATCAGGACCAACTTATTTGGTTCAACCTGTATTTACTTTACTGGAAGAACCTTTAGGTTGTGAAATGTACCCAATATGTTCTTGTCCTTATGCTAGAATGAAATACTTAAAAGAGGAAATGTTTTCAGTTATCTTCCAGGAATCTTTTAATCAATTTTATCAGCGTGAATGGTTAAAATTTGAGCTTTTGAAAAGAAACATGTTTCTGCTGTGATTTACATTCTGCTCTACCAGCATAAAGGAGTTAAAGCCACAGCCTAATGCCACGGTAACAGAAGTATGTGTAGGGGAATCCCCACATGGCACAGGACTGCCAGAGCTGCTTCTATACAGGGTCCTCTGCCAAAGCACACACAGTGCCTTTGTCTCCTTTCATGGGCTTGGAAAAGCAGCTTTTCCTTCCAGGAGTACAGAGAAAGTGAGAAGGGTAGTCCGTGTAGCTCTTGTTTCTCTGGTGGGTTTGAGCAGACAGAATATTGGCAAACTGTAAAATCCATCTGGAGTGGCCCCAGTCCAGAGCTAAATAGACCAAACTGATGCATGGTATTCCCCTATTTCAGAGCAAAAACTACTTCCAAGCCAAATTTACTTTACTGCCTTAAGTTACATGTGACTTTCACTTTTGCATCATCAGAGATGATTGGTAAGAATAGTGCTTCAAATGTCTTCACCAAGATGAGGGACTTACAGTAATAAATGTGTTAAGACTGAGAATAGAATCAGTGAGTATGCTTGACATAGAATCTGCTAGCAATATTCTTACCATATGTGCATAAATGATGTTGTACCTCTCTGCTTCCTGCACAATCTGTCTTCAGATCTTCATATCCACTATCTCCTTAGAATGTAACTTCTTTCGCCTGCTAGAGCTTCCATCTGCAGCAAAATGCCATTTTAATCAGTAGAATCAAAACATTAAATTATGGCATTATTCCAAGCTGTCTAACCTTAACCAAGTAAGAAATAACAAATCATAATTTTGGTGATAATCTTACAAAGTTTTTGCATTTAAAAGGACTTCAGAATTGAGTAACAAAAGAAAGTAGAAATAGAAAGTTACTAACTATGCATTGGAAAAATGAATGCAGTAAAAGCTTTACAGGTAGCTCATGACTTGGCCTTTAACATTATTGCATGCTCTTATTTTTTCTTATTGCACATGTATGTTACTGAATTTGCTCTGTTTTACAGTTGTACAATTTTGGAGAAACTGTTTCCATAGTGTTCTGGACAGATACATGGAAGCCAGAGAGCTTCTTTGACAAGATTGAGAAGAACAGGCAGAATGGAATGCACACCCTGTGCTTACTTGGTGAGTAGCAGCCACTCTCCTGCCTTTTAATCTATGTATTGAGTGTTTACCCAACTGACTAGATCACCAGATAAGCAAATGTGGCATTAAAAAGGTTAGTGCTGATAAACTTTTGAACTGAAAGTGACTTCATGGATGTAGAAGCAAGTTGGTAAACTGGGCACTTAGAGTTGTGGGGTTTTGCATTTTACCCCCTTTCATCTGAGTCACTTTGGTTTACAAGTTGATTCTGTAACAAGGAGTACTTATTCAAGGTTAAAAATGTATCCATATTTCTCTATGACAGTTTTGGGGGAGGAGGAGTGTTTGAGTGGAAGTAATATTTGGATTCCTCTTGGAAAGATTATGTTCAATTTGTTCAATAAAATTGCAGCTCTGCAGAGTCTTACCTACCAGACCCCTCCTCTATTTCAGTTTTGCCCAAATCCTTTTTTTTCCCATAACAGAAGCTTGTTCTAAATTTTGATTGGCACAGGAAGGAAGTGCTAATGAAAGTCAGGTTCCTGCATGGCAGTGATGTAATCGCTGTCGAGCAGTCAGACTGCTTTACATTCTGTGACATAATGTGCTCATAATTTAAGAGTAGTCCCAATGAACTGGTGTGCTCAAATGTGCTAGTATTTAACTGTCTGATGGTAAATATGCCTATTTGTATATTTACCAGGATTTTTATTTGTCTCTGTTGCTCTGAAATCTGTGAAATTTGCCCTATTGGGTAAAATCACATGCATAAAGTCACAGGATTTTGAGATTACTAACAGATGAAACAATACAGTATGATCCATATTGTTAAAGTTTCACCTACATAGAAAACCAAGTAAGAAACTTGTAGGAAATCTGTGTTTTAATGTGTTTTGTTCTACAGATATTAAAGTGAAGGAGCAGTCTCTGGAGAATCTCATGAAGTGAGTCACCATTTTGAAAATACATCGAAACACACAGTGCCCCTACAAAGGCTTTTCTGTACAAGGAACAAAGGTTCTTTGCCCATAGTTTAATACTGAACTTACCTGCCCGCTTCTCTCGTGCTTCTTTGTGGCCCCTGTCTTCTGTTTCTTACAAGGAGTGAAGCTCTTTTGTTCCTTGCAATAGGGTCTGGCTTTATTTATAGTAACTGAATGGAATTGCAGCAGAACATGATCTTTTTTATAACTGTTCCTGTGAGAAGCACTAAGTCAGAAAGAGATAGACTTTCCTCTTGGTGAATGAAGTGTTAGTTCTCTACTGTTCTGTCACCTCCTGAAACATTAATATCTGAAACAGTGTTCTAATTTTATTCTTCGTACACTGGCTGGAACAATGCAAAGTGAAGAATACAAGCACCCTTCTTAAAGAGTTAAATAAGCAATATACGGAAAATGTTCTTATGCTCATTTAACTGTATTCAAAAAGCTTTTGCCACATCTTACTCATTTCTGCAATCTATATGTTTTCACAGTGGTGAATATAAATGGCTCCTCTATAAACATGCTGTAACTGGTCTAAATTAACATTTGTGAAGTCTCACAGTATCATTGAGGTTTGTTTATTCTGGAGTTTCAAAATAAAATCTGTTTGACTGAATCCACAGTTGGCAAGGAAAGCACCATTTCATTTAGGAATATATTTCTAGTCTGTAATCATCTGTCTACAGGGCATTTAACAGAACAACAGTTGTATGCCCTTGGATTTAAGTCTAATGCATCCTTCAAGAGTAGCTGCAAAACCTGCATCTTGCTTCTAGCAGCTGAATTTGCTTTTAGGATCTAAATGATCTGGCAGCTGGAGCCCATCTGTTTCACTGGTGTGGTGAGAGCACAACAGATTTCTGTATTCTTTAAAACTTCCACTCTTGTCTAAAAGACCCAGCCTGGGAGCCTGGGCCTGTTTAAGTTCAACCTGCTGGTCTAGAGGTCTCTTGAAATAAGCTGTAAGATTGTTCAGGATAACAAAATTAATTGTATGTGAAATTTCTCTGCTTTTCCTTCCCTGCAGAGGGAGAAAGATTTATGAGCCACCACGTTACATGAGTGTGAATCAAGCTGCAGAACAGCTTCTTGCCATTATTCAAAAGAGAAGACTCCAAGGAGAAAAACCAGGTATGATTGGACTGCTTCTGTCTGCTACCACTCCTCTCCAGTCACACCCCTTGATGAGCCTCTGAACTCCACTCCCTTCCCCTGACTCCCAGAATTCTGCTCTGCAGTGGATTTGGGCTGCCTTAAATCCTGGTCATGAGATGGATTTAGCCAAGCTTCAGCCCAGCACAGTTCAGTGAACATCAATGAAGGTGCCCTGGTGGCTCCTGGAGGTACAGTCAAAGCCTGGAAACCCTGTACCATTTCCATCCATGTGGAACTGTGAGCTCTTTGAGCCATTAGAGTTGCAGGAGGCAGAAAGATTCTGAGCATTTTAGATCAGTCAAGCTTTAAAAAAAATCTCAGCTCAGTTTTACTTAGATTGGTCACACTCTGCTCTATGTGAACACCTGCAGGAATCTAGGTTAACCCAAAGATGCAGAACTGTGATTTTCACCTTGAATTCTTAACACTTCGACAGCAAACTGTGAAATATTTATTGAAAGCAAGGGTAAAACCACAGCAGCTAATCAAGATTATGAAATTGTGTCATAGTTTTTTGCTAACAAATTCATTTAGGTCTACTCCTCATTTAGTTTATTCCTTCAATACTGTTAAAAGTGAAAACCCCTTAATTTTATCCTTTACATCCTTTAGAAGGAATCAGAAGCAGCAGTTCCCTCAACTTGAACACAATTCCTGAATGAATTCTTCCTTAAGCTTTATTTTCTTTGAAGAGCAAGTTTCTTTTCTAGGCTACTCCAATAATGTAATAATTGGAAGTTTAAGAAAACATTGTTAAGGTTTAAGCATTTTGAGTACTTTTTCCCTTATGATGTGACCATTAGTCAATAAATTAAACATTTAATCTTCTTTCTTACAGAAATTACTGAAAACACAATTTGTGTTGGCCTTGCTCGTGTGGGTGCTCTAGATGAGAAGATTGCTTCAGGCACGCTACAGCAGATGTCCACTGTGGAATTGGGTGCTCCACTACATTCCTTAATTGTTACAGGCACTATGCATCCTCTGGAATTGGAAATGCTTAAACTGTTCTCTGTAGATAGTTCCAGTTTTGAAAATAATGCATGTCAAAGGACTACTTAAATAAAAACAAGGATTTACATTTTTATTCCATCTTTAATTGCATAACAGCATAAAGATATCGCTATGACTATTTAAGACTTGTCTAACTGTAGTTAGACTCTATATTGCTTGAGGACAACAGTGCAGGAACATGGACCTGCTTTTACCTGAGGCTGCAAACTGCACCTGCTGGTATCAGCTTCTACCCTGCAGACACCTCCAGAAACTTCTAAAGCTTTGATTCAGATCATTGACATCCACACCAGTCTTGGGCTGCTGACTAGGGTAAGAGGAGTACCAGGTATCTGTGTGGCATCACTTGCTGTAGTGCATTAACCAAACCTACTGCATATATTGTTCCAAGTGCATTAGATATCAAATTTTGCCTTTCAACATTGCAGAAACTTAGGAGTTCTCTTACCAATAGAAAACAGTGTGCAAAACCTGTTAGGTCTGTGTCCATCTTTGCCTTGGGAGAGTAAATACAGGCAGGTGAGAATGCTCTAAGCCAAAGAAAACCAGGAACTTTCCCTTTGGATAGCTGGTGAAAGAGTGGGAGAAGCTGCACAGAATTTCTTAGCTCAGAAGACTGCAACTTAAAATAGAACTGGATTTCTTCATATGTTAATGCTAGCATTTATGAAGGGTTAGACTCAACTGCAGCAACCACAATTAACCTCAAGCCAAGTCTCAGGAAACAAACTGCAAAATCAGCTTTTTCAACTATTCTTCACAGTATGATGAAAACAAAGCAGACCTGTACGCATATTTTTCTTAAACTGAAGATTTATTGGAAAGAAATTTCATCCCTTATCTTTTCAGCAATATAGGATATTTAACATTTTATATAGACTGTATTCAAGTAGAAAAGATTACATTAAAAATTTCTTAATATTGCACTTGGAACAAGCCGTGGCTAAGCTACGAACATTAGCATTCCAGAACAAAATCATACATAGTCTTCAGAATTTTAGTGAGCTGCCTTGTGTTACCTGCCAGATTTCTTCACAGGTACTTTGACACACTCTGCTATTGAACTGAAGCTCACTGCTCAGAGTAATTCCTGTAATTTAAAGGTAAAGGTAAGCAATATGCTGTATACTACCAGGAATTATTTTGGCAATCGCTTCATTCACATTATTTCATACTTCAGCCAAGATACTGTAGTGATTCACTTAACTCTTGTACAAGATCCCAGCACACATGTGAGAGGCTCCAATGCACACGGGAAGTGAAATACCCAGCTCTTTTAACACATTATTTCAGCCAAATTACCACACAGGCAGGAACCTTTTGTGGCTCACTGAAACAGACAAGTAGGTTGAGCAGTATTTGCACACAGCAAGACTCGGTCTTCACATGCCAGGCCCAGCATGGCTGGCATTGCTTCACATTATAGCAGTGTCTGGCCAAGGAGGTCCCCACAGGGATGGGCATTGCAACAGCCTGAACAGGGGACAAATCCAAAAGGAAACCTCAGCAATCTGCAGATAAGGATTTTCACAGAAGTGTAAAGGAGGAATTAACTACTGAGTCTGTATTGAGGATCAGAGAGATTATTGAAAAAAAAAAAATTCTGTTTAAAGGAATGGGATAATCAAGAATCATAGCAATCTAATGGCTGCTGGAGAAAACAGAACAGGGTTTAATTATTAACTGAAATTTTGCTCTGAACTGGTTTTAAAGACTTTTGTGTCATGAAGAAAGATAAGAGTTTGCATTTTATAAAAGCATGCAACTGAAAATCTGCACTGTGAAAGAAAAGCATGGACTTTACAGTAATTTGTTTGCACACTATGTGCAGAAGATGGAAAACTGCAGTTCAGCAGCCGATTCTCTCCTCTTGTATCTTGTTTACATTCCCGGAACAGGTTCACTTACAACAGTTAAAAAGAGAAACTATTAATTTTCCTTCACCTTTAAACCCAGCTTTACATCTTTAAAAAAAAAGTAAATTAAGAATGTTAAGTCACTAAGGTCTATTTTATTAGTAGTAGCAGCTTCAATTTTTGTGTAAAAATAGTGTCAGCAGTTTTTACTAATGATGCAACTGAACTTTTGCTTTAGTAGGCTTTATTACATAAAAAGCAAAGTCATTTATTTACTTTTCATCTTAGCTTAGCAAATCAAACGAGTAACTCAACTCTCTGTAGGGGCCCTCTTGATGGAAGGAGCCAGTCTATCCAGAGCTGTACACTTACCAGATTAGCCTATAAAGGACCAGTCCTTACCGTGCATATTCATAAGAGGAGTTTTCTTCCACTGTTATGTAGCCCAAAAAACACTGAGGCATTTTAATACAGACACCCTGTAACATTTGTTTTATCTTCTTATTTTGCTGTAGGTGTGGTAAAATTCATGCAGTTTGCAGGCTTGGTCTTTGGAACAATAGGGTTTTAAGTTACTAGTCTCAATCACAAAAAAAAAAAAAAAAAACCCACAAACACAGACCAGTAACCTAACCCCACACTAAATATCAGCTACATGGAAACATGAGAAAACCACACTTTGAAAACTTGATTCAAAATTCAGAAGTGGAATATCAGCTACATGGAAACATGAGAAAACCACACTTTGAAAACTTGATTCAAAATTCAGAAGTGGGTACCAGGAAGCCGAGTTTTAGCACATGATCTGCAGACATTCACCCATCTCTGGATGTCAGCTATTCACACAAGTCTTTGTTTAAATCCTGCCTTGCATCTCCAATAAAGTGTCGATAGCAAAGTGTTAGGTAAGCAACCACTGTTAAGTAATTAGCAAAACACAAATAATGGTGCTTTGGCTTTCAGGGTAAGGAAAGCTGCACTTTTGCTTTCAACTGCATGGTTTGTACTCTCCTAAAACCTGAGCAAGTATCCCCTTAGGTGAAAAAAATATCAGATGTCCCTTGTTTACTGACATACTACATGTGACTGCAGTTGCTGACTGAACATGTCCTACACTGTGTTTTTGTGATGTTTATCCTTTTTCAGAAAGCCTGTAAAGGCTAAAGTCTGTTTTGAATCTGACTTCCCTACACTATCCCCAGTTACATTTGACAAACCAATGATACATTTCTTACTATAAATGTTTAAACATAATGAAGTGCTGTCTTGCTTGGCTAGAAAACTCAGACTTGTATATATGCTTCCAACAATCAGTTAAATCATAATAAGCAAAAACAGTTACCAAAAGTTATTAAAATTGTTGTGTGATTGTAAAAGGCTTACAGACTTTTTCACTCCATTTCCCATATTAAAAATTTGGTAGATGTACATTTAAAAGAACACCATCACCACCATCAAAGAAACAGCCACTCTTGCCAAGGTTTTCACTTGGAAACAAATAGTAGCAGTTGTCTTTTCATTAAGAAGCTAAAATAGTGGCCAAGCTCAGCAACTTGGGCAGCACTACAGCATTTCAACAAGTCCAGGAACAGTCAGTCTTGAAACATGCTGGTGTAAAGATGACTTAAACCAAAGCCTGCTACTGGATCACGACACAGTTGCAATGAATCTGTCTGCTGCTTGCCTTTAAAGTGATATCAGTTGATCTTCTTTAGCCCCAAATAGCAGTAATAATAACTCTTAAAAAATGAGGAAGTCCTGCTGGCAGCCAGCAAGCAGCAGAATATAGGCACCACTCTACACAACAGTACCTCCACCCTATAATCACAAGGGATTTTCATCACCTTCTCTGAACATACACGCACATAGTATCTTAAACTGCAGTGCTCCAATCTGCTAAGCAGATTCCTGCACCCCGTCCTGTGCCACGTAACTTCCATCTTCCAGGCAGGAACTCTGGGCCTGGCACAGCATCTGCCAGGTGGGACAGGGAGAGAGCCTGACACGAGTGCCAGGCCAGGAAAGAGATGTAGAACATGCAGCCTGCTGGGAGGGCACTCTGCGCCTGTGTCCCCAGGGAAAGCAAACGGGATCAGAAATGGCAATGGAAGGATCTCAAAACTGAAAGAGACAGCAAAGATTAAAACCAATATTATAGGTAGCTTTGTACTGCCATTTTTTTTAGACCCAGTTTCCAGTTCCAAGCACAAGTGTACACCCCCAAGATCTGGACAAAATCAACATTCATGTTTCAATATCTCAACTAGAAAATTCAGGAACCACCATCAAATTTGGCAAGTGTTGTGGTTTCACATAAAAAGAAACCAGGAGTTATATAGGAACAACAGAATGAATGCAAGAAACTCTTCATATCTGTGATGGATTCAACAATATCAGTGGCAAACAAACCATTTCTGCAAATCAATCTTCAGTAATTTCATAGTGCCTAGCACTTCCTACGCAGACACTGTAAATTTCTAAAGGCCTTGATTTTAGTATTACCTCTGACAGGTACCAAAATAGACGTAAAATTCATACCAATCAGTGGCAGCTATGATTTCTCAGAAAAATGCCTGTATTGCTTTTTACTTCACCATGTTCTGTTTGTAAAATGTCCTCTTAAAAAGTATTCCATTATTAAGTGAACTACTACAGCATAGTGGAACTATCATCTGTAATACCAAACATAGCAGATTGCTTTTGAAAGTGACACTCAGATATCTGAGTAAAATTATTACAAATGCTAGTAAATACAAGACAGAAGAATGTTTCTGGGGAAAAAAACCCCAACCTAACAACCCTTACTGCACTGAGAATTTTCTCCCCTATGAAAACATACAAGGCTGCAGTAAAATAGTCAAAGATTTGTCAGCCTGGGAAAAGCATAAGCTAAAACAGCATGAAAAGTGGTCCTTATTTCCATTTCAGGCATAAGTGCCAGAAACAACTATTTTCAATATTTGGAAAGGCAAAATTTGAAATTCATCACTAATAAAAATTATAGCAACCTATTAAAATCAAGGAGACTTAACCTTCCACAATTTCAGGATTTAGTTTTTTCCACCATATGATTTGGAAAATAAAAAACTTCAAGCATTGCTTCCATCACCAGCATTTTCCTTCAGCTGCCCATTGTTTAAGTGACTGAACATTAGCAACATCATGTAATGTCTCAATACTCTCAGCAGTATGAAGAGACTTAAGAATTGGAGTTAAATCTAATATTTGAACTAAAATAATTTTCACAAGACGTGCAACAAAATACCCAGCTTGTCTCAGAGGCAAGTCTCTTCACAACAGCTTTGTCTTTTACATTTAGAATTTTCCTGTCTGGTAAGATGCAAATATAATGGAAGCCTAACATCTACAGTTATGTAAGTACACAACCCCCCCGCATACATCGCTAGTAAATAACCAGACTGCATACAAGATTATTTGTAAAAGTAGTAAAACCCTTTGATGCTCCATATTTATGCTGGCAAATAGCTCTCCTGATATAAAAGGCACTTTGAAAACCCAATATGGTTTGGTTCATTAAGTTTGCAAAGTACAAACAATTGTACAAACATACAATTATATTGAAGCATGTCAGCCATTGTGACATTGTCTACAAAACAAGTTTCCAATTGCCGATAACACTGGTTTTATGGGAATGAGCAGTGGTTTCAGCAGCTTTACTGAAGACATGACAGGGTTTCCAGTACCACAATCTTCTTAAGTAAAAAAAACCCTCAAAAACGTACAAGTTTAGGGGCCCCAAAAAAAACAAGACCCAAAGTCCATAACATTCATTCAATATTTACTCCTTAGAAGTGAACTTCCTCCGTAGCCCAAGGGCAGAAATCTATTCAGTCAATTCCAGACGTGGTGGAGGCAGGCTCTGTCTCAAGAAGTGTTGCTACACCAGTACAGTACTGAAAACTTTGGTCCAACAGCACCATTCCAGAAACTGACTACATGGCTGCAACATCAATCTGTATGTAAAGCTGCCTTACTCCCGCCTGTGGAAAAAGGAAGGAGGGTTAAAAACACTGTAAAGCCAAAGCAGTTGCCTGTCCTGAACATCAGCCCACATCAGTAAATGACCTAGCAAAAAACCTAAACAACTTATTTTTTTGTAATTCATCTCCACATTTAGCATATCACTCAGAGAACACCAGATGAGTAAGGAGTTCTTCACACAGTCAAGTGCACACACATAATGATGTATCAACATTAGCTTTGCTGCATTACCTCTTCTGATTCATCCTAAATGACTGCCACATGTGAAGCTGCACAAAAGCAACTCTTACTTTCCTTTGTGCCAGTTTATCTTCCTGCAAAGCAAGCTGCTTCAAGAACTGTCAGTTTAAAATGAAGCTAAGTACAAGAGCAAAACATGGGACTTGTTGTTCAAACCAGTTCTACATTATGAATCTACCCAGAAAGCCATCACATGTACAAGCTGACAATGCAGTGAAAAGCCTGAGTAGGTCTGGTCTGTGGTGAGAAACTCATTCCTAAGAGAAGCCTCATCTGTTTTCTTAGTTCCTTACAGGTCCAATATAGCTCAACCCCATTTGATACACCTGAGACAATTACATCTGTTATTCCTATAAAGTGGTATGAAAAACTAATGCAGAGAGGTACACTAATTCCATCTACACAACTGAGTATTTTGAAACTGTTATATACAGCTGGAGCAGGGAGGCTTTTCAAAACAGATACCAAACTCAGAAATATTTAACCTTTCTTGGTAAAAATTAAAATGTCACATCAAGCAATTTACACTTTGAGATGTGACGTCCACTGATAAGACATACCTGAGTAAAAATATTGTGAGTCTGGCTTAGAATCCACCTTCCATCAGCATCAGGAGCTACTAGTAACTTCAAAGTCCCTATGTAAACATCAGTACAGAGGGTCCAGAAATGTGGATCATGTAAACTGTAGACTCCTTGCAACTGCTGCACCTAAAAATAGAGGCAAATTTTAGAAAGTGTATTTCAGAAAATAATTTTCTGTATTATGGTTTTTTACAGAAAGTATTGTAAAAGTCAATGCGTTCTTTTACTTAGAGTTCCCTGTGCATTTTGTCATCTTTTACCAAAATTTTTCATTACTATCTCAGTTATTGTAAGGAAGTTGAAACATATGGATTTGTGTCCAGGTCATGATTTTCTCTATGTGTTGTGATTCTGTACCCTGCTGCATTTACACTCTACATACACTTTACTGAAACAATTTCTAAAAATAGAGGTGGTCAGGAGAGAAAAGTCTGGATTTGAGATGTCATCCAGTTAAAACCGCTCTTTTTGCAAATGTGCTTATTTTGCCATGAAACAATTTGTGAGATTCTAAGTTTAACAGAAATATATTGATATATCATTTACAGTTTTGTGAGGTCTTAGATGTGTCCTGCCAATCCTTTTGTTGTTTCCTCTTTCCACTTTCAGCAAACCCTCCACGTGATGATTACAGTCTGTAACTCCCAAGGAAAGGCAGCATTCATTCAAGTGCTCAAGTGCTTTGTATTAACTTTGCAAAGGCACTTCATGGCATACCAATAGGAAAGTTAAGTAGGAGAACAAATCAAATCCAGAGTAATCTTTGTATTCTTATAAATACACTTTCAATGTTATGTATAAGCACAAAGCACTTTGGGAGGAGTAGCTTCAGAATCTACTTTTTTGAACTAACAGGAAAATTTTAAAACAGAAACTGAGGTGAAGCTACATGCAATTTAGTACTCTAGGAAACTTAATTAAATTGGTACCTCCATTTGTGTATTCTAGGGTACCTTTGACTGGCAAAACATCATAAAATCATTCCTTTTACTAGAAAAACATCATAAAATATCCTCATACGCAGCTGAGGCTCAGTCAGTCAGCAGCTTGATCAGTCAGAGCAAAAACAGCTTAAGAGCTCACCCTCTGGTAGCACTGAGGCAGGGCATTTTCCAGGGAAGGAGGAGTTCGCTGCATCAAAATCCCAATGGACTCTTTTAAAAGTGGAACAATACTAGAAAGAAAAAATGAAATTAGCTATTATTACATTTTCAAAAGGTGCAAGGAGTAACCTAAGATTCCTTAATGCTGAGAAATTTTTCTCTAGTTCTTCCAGCAGAAGCTGAGGAAGTTGTCATGAAAACCCAGTACAGAAAATAAAAGGATTGACAGAATTACAATGGTGTCCTATCAAAGGCAAGATTATTTCTCCCCCACAGTTTCCAGAGTCAACTGGTGGTCAGTCACAAAAGATTAATGGTTTAATCATGGGATTTTAGATGAAATCTCTTGGTGTCTAGGAAGTTATACAACAAAGCAGCTGTATAGTTCAAAACCAACTTCAATGGCAAATCATTCACAAGCAACCATAAAAATACTCAACTGAAATTGGGTTTGCTTTTGTGTTTGGTTTAAGGCATATTTTTCTTATGAACTAAGATAATAATGGGGTAATCATAAAAGAAAATTAGTGTGGAACAGTCCAGCTACAACAGAGTTATTTTGTCAGAAACAGACAACTTGGCATATTCTTGAAGTGAACTAAGTGTAGGGTCTCATCCAAGCTCAAGGGTTAAACATTTGGAAGCAATTAGAGGTTCCCTCCTAGCCAAATGGTCTTGTTTAATCAGCAAACTAAGAAGACATTTAATACCCTTTTTTATTATTATTACTTCTTGTTTTTTAATAAAACCAGGAGAGCAGTAAGCCTATACCCTGAAGCTACGACTAATAGGTTATACTCTTAGTAAGTATTCAGCATGGGGATTTTTTTGTTTAGGAGTAGTGCATCATGTCTGGTTCAGTAGAGCATTCTAAAATTTTCAAGTGGATGACAAATATCTGTAGCCCAAGAGTAAAGCTTAAATAGCAATTTAGTTTCAAAAGTGTGCAAGTCACCTAACATTCTGGACTGAAAGTGATTATATATAGCAGAAACTGTAAGCTTCATTTCAGAGTTCAGCACTGGCATTACAGCTGCACATCCCATGGAGTTATGGGATCAAAAGCACACCTGAAACATTTGTAATGTTATCTGGACCAGTTGTTAAAGGACACTCCAGAACCTTTGTTTAAAATCTCCTGAAGCGATGTGGAATGCATGGCACAGACCAGCTGTGTATTTGCAGATGTGAACAGATGACCTAATCATTTTCTTAAAAGTGTTTCCATTTGAACATGGGGCAGTGCTGGCTGATGGACTGCTCAGCTCACTCCCTGGCTAAACCTGGCCAGGGTAGGAGGGAGTGAGAGGCTGTGTAACTCTTGTCTAATGAACCCCTGGAAAAGCCACTACCCTAAAATTAAGTCTTCTTGCAGGCAGAATGGTTGTTCCAGCCAAATTCACTGCCCGGTGCCCTCCAGCACATGGCCTCCCACGTTTGCACTGCCACCAAGGCATCAGTTCAGAAATAGGAAGAAGCAATTAGGGGTAAGCAGGAGTTGCTAGACCTGTCACCAAGACAAACATTTAGCAATGCAATAACTGTCAATCTGTCTAAAGGAAGCTTAATTGGAGTGTCACATTCTACAGTGGATTACAGAAGTTTAGGGAAAAAAAGTTCTCTTATTAATGGACCCATCTCACTAAATAATGTCCATGTCACAAGCATTACATCAAAGGGAGCTGGAGCTGCCAACACACTCCACTGATGAATTGATTTTAGTTTAACTCCCTATTTAAAATGCAGGTTTGCTTCTTAATAAAAACCTTGAAAGACCAACACACAAGTTCAGGATGCAAAGTGAATGCAAGAATTTTGAACACTGTTCCATTCCCATAAATTTAACAAGGCCTCTCTAGCATATGTATCCAAAGGTTTCAAAAACCACACACATACAGGCTGCATATTTTTTCCCAGGGAAACAACTAAAGGAATAGCAAATGTAGTAGTCTGCCTTTTAATTGAAACCTACCACCAAGAGTGAGAATAGCCATGAAAAAAAGCTAACAAAAATGTCTAATTTGTACAACTTATTTACATTAATAAAACTGATGTACATTATCTGATGGAAGATAAATTAATTGTAAAGTAGATTTGAAAAGGCTATGAAACAAGAACATCTTACAAGTCCAAAGAATAGAGTAAATCAGGATGTGGCTTGATACTGTTGGTGAAAGTTGAAGCATATCCCGGGTCACACCTTCTTCCTGTATCTTAGAGCCAGTGCTCAGATACAACATTTATCTTTTGCAAAGCTGAAAAGCCAAAAGACAGCTGCAGTGCTGTGACAGGCCCTCACAAATGCTGTTCAGAGCAAAGGTGTCCATGGATGCCCCTCTGCATCCAAAGAGATGCTATCTCACATGGTATCTTACTGTAAGCCAAACTAACACAGCAAGCAACAGAATCCAGTTTTATGAAGCCTGATGTTTTCCATTGTTTCATGCATATCACTGAAGTACAAAACCTTTAATTTAAAAACAAAAACTCCACAGAGTATGCTCTTTTCTCAAACATTAACTCAAACCAGTATTACTTAATCACTAGGAGGCCCCAGAAATAGCAGTTCCACTTCATGTGACTGAAGAAAACATAAGGGATGACAAAATCAAGCTGGCTGAAAATATGGTTAGAGATTTTGTCAAAGCTTTCTTTTCTTTGGCTTAGTCATTAATTAATAAAAAAAACAAACTTGTTGCCTCCACACCAATTATTGCACTGGTACTTCCCCACTTGCTTGTTTTAATTTACAAGACTATTGAGGAAAACAATGCTGAATTCTCACCAAGTGAAAAACCTTAAAGCCTTCTCATGCATTAGCAGTCAGTAAGCTTTGTTATTAAAGCAGACACAATTCCATTGCTTTCTGATTACCAAGCCTTAAATGTAAAATATCACACTCTTTTACAAGACAATAAAATTTGAAAGAGGAAATAACTCGCAGCAAGCTTTGGAATAAAAACATATGCTCTGCAAAAGCCAGAAATGCAAAGGCAGTTATTGTATGAGTACATCACACTTGCACATACACTCTTACAGAAGTGAAAAGTTTTCAAACAAATCAAAATGAACTATTGACTTGAATCTGATAAATCAAGCCTACCACTACTATACATGGATTGATTAAAAATTAAGAATGAAAACATTAGACTCTTACTCAACCTGCATCCCATTCAGATAATACTCATGCCCATTCCAGTGCCATCCTGTTTATGCCACTGTTTCTGTAGGCACAGCCAGCAAGACCCTGGCATTGTCATGACTTTGGACTGTGAAACTGAAAACAACTCCAGGTAAAGAGCCCTTTAGACAGACACTGGACTTGGAGCACAGCAGGAAATTCATTCAGTGCTCTCAGCACTACAGAAAAGAGGGGGTATTTGTGACAGGTTTTGTGGAAAGTAAACAAACATTGCTAAGGATCAAGACCAGCTACGGTTTGTCAAATACCACAGCTCAAAATCTACAGCCATTTTCCTGAATTCTGTTGTTTTTTTTTTCGCAGCCACCGTCCATATCCACAGTGTGAAGACTGTTGGCCTATTTCAGAACTTCAATGAATTTTTAATTAGGCAATGGCAATTTTAATCAGACTGCAAGCTTTGCTCAAGACAAGGACCACAGGTTTACCATTTGCTTTACAGATTTTGAATTCTTTGTTCTCATAACAATGTAGTACCTTGATTTTCAAGCAAGGCTGGCAGGTACCATTACCCTGTAAATAAAGGTAGTGCTTGACATTTAGCAATAATGGCTTAAAATAACACCAACAACAAACATGCCAGTTTGGAGGAGTTTTGCTATAGAAAATTCCTTCTGAATCCTAAGGAACGCAGCACTTAATTTAAAAATAAGTCTTTTTTTTTTATACTGCTATGCCCCCAACATGAAAGGCCTCAAGCACACCCTCCCCCAAAGCACTTTTATATTATATCATGTTCAAGCAGCTCAAGATTTTATGCAAAAATTATGTAACCCATGGAAACAACTTCACTAAATGACTGAAGTAAATTGCCTCATTTCTTTGACCACTTAATATGCAGTCTGCCTGCTCTGTGCAACCTAGTATCAGATTTAGTCTATTATGCCTTTCTAGAAACATGTGGGTCTAATAGTGGTTTAGGACAATCTTGATTTATACCAGAGTTGTGGCTTTTGCGTGGTGACTAGTTTCACATAGCTGAATGAAATACTAAAATTGCTTCAACATTTCAAAATAAGGCTTAGAATATTAATGTTAAAAACTAAATTATTATTTAGTTTGAAATATTAACAGCAGTTCAAAGACTTGGGAAATTGTTTATTGATTCAAGGCACATGTAACTATGTGGACAACACTTTGGAAAAAACTTAAACAGTGTCAGCCTAAACTACAATTCAAGCTTTTGTTAAAAATATTTTAAATGCTGGTAAAACAGACTTCTTTGTTTTAAGCATGTGCTATTTATGCTTTACTTGCATGAGATAGTACAGAGTAATCAAAGAAAGAATCATCAGATACTAGTGGTTGCATCCAGGAAAATTCAGATCCACACAGGATTTTCACCATGCAGTCAGAATGTTCTGTGCTAACTTATGAGGAGTTAGGCAGAGAACATCAGCCTAGAGCACCCTCAGCAAAGAATCACAGGAGCAACAGAGCAACTGTGTCAGCAGCTGACAATTTGCACTAATTAGAGATGTCTACAAGAAGGCTCAACCATTTGATTTAAAAGCACTGCCTGACTTCTCTGAAGAAGTATTGCTTAACTCTTCTACACATGCACAAGGCAAAACAGGTTATCAAGAGGAGTCTGTACAGCTTTACACTGCACCAGTGAGATTTTTAATCATCTTATACTGGTATTTTTGTGATTTCTTTGGAAAATGTGGCCATCATTTAAGAAACCTGAACAGAGAAGACCCACTAATAAGAGCAGGCAAGGCTCAAAGAAACCAGAGAGAGCTGCCCAACACTGAAGCAGGCAAACACTCAGTATAAAACAAATGAATAATGAAGTTATTTCACACAGACACAAGCAATCCTGGATTAAGAGCAATCATTTTCCTCTGCATTCTCATGCAACAGCTTTGATATTCTACTGGTTCACCAGACATAGTTCCATAAAAGGCAATAAGGATTTCTGCTCAGCCTTTACTCTTTTGTATACAAAAGTATCATATAAAGAATACATATTAAAAAAATGAAAACAAAACTCCAAACAGAACCAAACTACAACACAATAAAAAAAACCCCACAAGAAGAAAGCACCCTAACAAAATAACAGAGAAATAGAAGTCCTGGATCTAACCTACCCCTCACTCATACCATGCAGACTCTCTGAGTCACACTCAGACCATTAAGCAGTAACTTGGAGGATACAGCTCCAATCAGGGCAAGGTCCCTGAATACCATTAAAGCTTTTGAATGACTTTTGAAAACTTTATCAGACTGGCTGTTGCATCTCTGGCTCAAAACTATGTTTCTTTTATTAGAGCCACAAAGATCCTGATTACAGAACATCCTGATTTTTAAACACACATGAATGGGATCTGCTTGCTGGGGCACACACATACTCTCCACTTTACCTTACCAAAGCTGGTTTAACAGTAAAAGGGACACAAAATCGACAAACATTTATTTGAAATAGAAGACAATTATTTAACCTGAAGCCAAATTTACCCCAAAAATTATTTATCAAGGTTTCAAATTGACCCACAGAAATCGACAGCAACTCCTTTACTAGAAATTGAACATCCCAGTCCTTCCCACCTCAAACCCACAAGTATCCCATGAGGAGACTGACAATTAGAAAAAAAAACCTCAAACCCCAAATATCCCTTCCCCCGACTCCACTAGACACACCCTCAGATTTTAAATTTCACAGAACTTCAGTAGTTTTTTTCCTCTGGGTTAGACTTAGGTGACTCTAAAAGATTAACTATTATATATCCTAGCAAGCATTACCTAAGCTCCCATATTACTGTTACAGAAGACCACCTTATGGGAAAATCTGAAAACCCTTTTGCACTAATTCTTAAAGGACACTTCAAACACAGCATAGTGAAGAATAAGGCAAAATTAACAGTAGATTTATGACCAGAACTGTCAATGAAGACTACTAAAATCAAACACCACAAAAAGGGACTCAAGTTTTCATCAGCCATCTGAAACTGCCAGTAATCTTATTATGATCCTAAAGTGCATTTCAAGTAAAAATACCAATAGTTCAGTCTGTTGGGCTGCTTATAAAACAAATAAAATACCAACACAAAACCACCCAACCCTGCAATTAGTGTTTGCTCCACTGGTGTGCCAGGATGTGTCAGATGGCAAAAAATGCAGGCTTGCTTCTATCAGCTATGATGCAGCTGACTCCACTGATAGCAGAATTATTCTACTGATCATTTATAACATTGTGGACCAACAAAATAATGTTACAGGCTGAAGTCTGGCCTAAGATCAAGACACATCAAAGAGTGAACTTTTCCAGCATTTTCAGCATAGAACATGGGTCTCAAACGTTCGTTCCTTCTATCTGTGCTAGAAAACATCTAACAGCATTATTATGACACCTCTGTTGTGGAATGCAATTTCAACTACTGTATGAATGGAAGAAAAAAACTGAATTGTCATTCATGTGGTATTTTCTGCTGTACACAAAGCTGGACCCTTAGAATACAAAGTGTATGGAAACCTTTTATTCAGCTATTACCTCTACCTTGGCAATAATTTCTTCTCCCTTGGAAACTTGCACATTTTCTTTCCCATTTTTTGAGATTTCAGTACTAGAAATAGTTTGTAATAATTTGTCATTTATGAAATTACAGAATGTTGAAGTCAAAATCTCTGAAGGTCATATTAAAGTGGTGATTTAGTAGTGATTTCTAGCACAAACATTTCTGTGGGCATTGTGTCTGAAGCTTGCTGTCCTACTTTGACTAACAGGGAGATTCACATCAATAATCCTGTGAATGCTGCCATGCACAAGCCATAAACATGCCATACATGGTATGAGCAGAAGTAGCTGCAGTTCATCAGATGACTCTCACCACTGCTGACCAGACAAAGAAGTTGAGTTATTAGGTTGTAACTGGTGTTGTGGCACACTGCCCTATGGCACCATTGAAACTGCTGCCTAAAAAGCCTCATAACATCACTCAATAAAATATTTGCTTGATCAGTCTAATCCAAGTAGCTTCACATTCACAGTGAACTTGGTAAGAAACAACTGTGAAATCCAGAAGTATGTGAAGCATTTCCATCAGATCTTAAAAGGAATAAAGATATCTCAGAGTGTAAATGCTAAGTAAAAGACAGTTTTTGTCAATATAAGAAAACAAAATCAAAACCTAGCAGCCTTGATTTGTGAAGGACAAGAGCACATCCTGTGCCAGCAGTCTCAACCCTGCTGCCCTGAAACCATTCTGCTCCATTTACTGGAGTACATTGGTTTATATAAGCATGTACAGAGATGAAGCTTTCTACAGCTTGAACCTGAAAGACATTTTTCTAATATTATGCAAAGGACAAAATATGCAGATTTAAGAGTGAAAGTTGTAGCTGTAGAAAAAGGAAAGAAAGATAGATCATGTAAGAGCTCACCAGAATGGCTGTACAGAATGTAACATACCACTCTTGGAAGAAAAGCAAATGTTGTAAACCATTAGCATAACAAAACTCCTTCTCCTTCTGAGCTGATACTTCTGCTGTAACTAGCACCAAAAATCCTACCAAATACCAGTGATAGTGATACTTACCTTACACCTATAAGTAGTGCTATCAGCATTGAACAAATAGGATCTGCTATCATTAGACCATAGTTCTGCATCAGTATGGCAGATATGATTACACCAATACTTCCCAGCGTGTCTGCCACAATGTGCAGGAATACACCTGTAAGAGATCAAGTGATACCATTACAACTTGCTATTATTAAAGCTAATGGAGCTTTTCAGAGATGTTTTACAAAAAGACGATTCAAGAACTAGATAATATGATCTATACTTTTTAAATTTACAGTCAGTTTTGGGTCAAACACACAAAGATTCTAATGTATTTGTAGAATATGGGCCAATTGAAGAATTTACATTCTGTTATGCACTTAGCAGTATTGGGCATTTCACAACAAGGCTATTAACCTGAACAGTGATTAACAGCTGCAGCTAGACTTTTTTCATTCAATACTCACCCTTATTATAGTACAGAAACTCATGTTCCCTGATGCCTACAGTAGTGAGGTCTGTATAAGATGGACAGACTGTTAACAGAAACAGTTGTGCAAAGCTTTGGCATGTGCTAATGTTTAATTGACACCTCCTCCTAGAAGTTATTTGGCAAAGAAATCCAAGACAAATAGTTTTGAGAATTAAACAATACTGCAGACATGAAAAGCCTTACTCTTATTCTGAAGAATAACACTTCCTTCAAGTACAAAGAAACACATAGTTTGCAGCCAGTCAAAGTTTAGCCTTTGGAGCTCTCTGCTGGCAGTGACTGGAAGTCATTCAGAAACAGCTTTTTCGATGCAATTCTCCAGATAGGTAATCCCCTCTTGTAAACACAACACACCGCTATAAACCATCTCTTTGGGGATTTCTCCAAGTCTGCATTTGTACTGGCTGGCTGGGACAGAGCTGGGTTTCTCCACAGCAGCCTGCATCAGGGCCTTCTGTTTCTCATGACCCCACAGCAGGAAGGCTGGGGTGGACAAGACGCCAGGAGGACACACAGCCAGGCCAGCTGATCCAAATGGACCAGAGGGACACTTCATACCACCCAACACCATGCTCCCCAATAACACTAGTGCTGTCTTTCCCAAATAGCTGCTGCTCAGACTTCCCTAGGCACTGATCTGCTGGTGGGATGTGCTGGCTTGTGATTGTCTTGATAGTGATTTTACATCACTTGGTGGGGTTTTTCCACCAGTACTGAAAAATTAAAATAAAATCAAGTCTTTTTAATATGCTTCAATTAAAATGACTGTTTCACAAAAAGACTTTGAAATATCTTCAACTGAAGTACTGAGTATACATAAGAGTGTACTGTAAATTCTGGAAGAACTTGTAAATGCTCCTTCTCAAGGACTACAAACAAGCCAGAAGATAATTCAATAAGAGAAAACCCTACATACATTTGGGTATGCCAAATAATTGCTACCTCCTATATCTCATAATTATCTCCCTTGAACTTCTGAACATTTAAAAAAAGAAAAATAAAGAAGGACAGCAGCCAACCAAAGCTCAAAATCAACATCTAAATTATCCATAACTAATGCTCAAGAGATCAGGGACTCCAATACCACTTCAAGAAATTTAGATGCATTACCATCTGCTCTAAATTAATTTTAAGAGCTTAATGAAATGCAAGTTTTAAGCTCAGGTACTCTTTAACAATTATATCAATCTGCATCTTCATGTTACAGAACTTATATTGCAATTAGGCTCTTTAGGTTTCTCCTTTTAATTACTCTTTCCTAGTTTTTCATTGATTTTTCAGCATCAATAACAGAAGCTGAATCCCAGCTTTTGGGATGTCTCTTTTAAACTGCGTTGGCAGCGCATTACATCTAAACTTCTGTGAATGTCTCAACATCTAGTTATGTACAGAAGACAGCAGAGCTGCTTACAAGGGAAATGGAACTTCATTAAATACCTCCTTTAAGAAAAACATGGCATTTATCCAGAGGAACCTTCTGTAACACATGTGTGACAGACCCAGGCAGGCAGAATGTGATAAAACCAATAAGACATCATATTTATTATTCTCATCGTACCTTGTAAAATCTGCTTGCTGGATCCACCCATTACTTCAAGGGAATGGTCATCTGTGAAAGCAATTATTGACACATTAACCTAAACAAAGGCTCTCTAGTGGCCCTGTTACACTCTTCCTTTCAGAAATGTCTTGGACAGACAGGCTGCTCCCAATGACCAGCTTTTACTCAAGCTATTGTTTTTTAATGCAGCAGTTAAGTTAAAAGTCTTAAAATGCATTTTTTAAAATACATCCCTTTATACAGTAGATTTCTACATAGGGATATATAAAATTAATTATCTCCATTTGTTCTTAATTTAAACAAACTGAGAGGTAAGACCTTGCTAGTATGTAGCAAAATAAGACCCCTCAAAAACACAAACCATGAACTGAAGTGAGAAGAGTAGGTTCAAATAGATTTGCTAATCAGAAATAATAAATGCTTGCTTTTATAACTAAAGTAAAAATACAAGACTTAGAGAAGGAACAAGTAAGTAAAAAATCTCATCCAAGCAGATTTATGCCTCTGTAGCATTAATCTGAAAGATATTTTAAGAAGAACTTGTTAAAGGATTGTAAAGTGAAGATATACAATAATTTACAAAACAGCTGATTTGAATATCAAACTCCACAACACAGATAGCTATATTCACTGGTCTGCAAAGGTGGGGGCCATGTGGAAGGCAAAGAAGAGGCAGAAGCAGGGAGCTCCTGCTTTCCAGCCAAATTCCAGGAGGACTACTGGAAGACATATGCCAATTTTCTAAGAATAGCAAGGAAGGGACAATATTTTTATACTCTTTGTCACCTCCTGTCTGCCAGTTCCCACACTACTCCTGCTTTGAATGTGCACATTTTGAGTCACATCAGATTCAACTTATGGCTCAGGGAGGAAGGACTGACAAGCCTGCATTACCACAAGGCTTTAATTTGCATTGCTTCAAATAGGTGCTACCTACACAACCTCTTCTCCCATAGTGAAGGCTACTGACCATATTTAACATGAATGTCTCTTCTCAGATTGTTTGCCTTCATAGAAAAGATTTCAGCATAGCTTACATAGCAACCATCTTTTCCATAACAATCTTAAAACAGATTACAACTACACAAAATTGGGAAAGTCTTATTTGAGATCACAAACCAAGTACAACTAACAATCCATAAGTACCCAAAGTTCACTAGTTCATTTTGTCTAATACTGTAAAATTATACAAAGTACAAAATTATATACTATAAAATTAAAGAAAAGGAGAACAGTAGCAAAACAGTTCAACTTTGTCAATTGATTTTAATGAAACATTGAATCAGGGCATATTGAAACTGATAACTAATTTCACTACATTGCAATAGCATACAGCCGTTCCATCTTTTGCCAACACACAACATTACAGCGCACACTCAAAAACCAGAGGTAAAGCAAAATCTTTAAAAACCACCATTGACATTATTACTGCAAGGAAAACACAAAATGAGTCATAAAACATGATGGTGGCAGAGCATACTAGACATTTAATGAAGCTACTACCATGTATGATCACAACCAGCTGACATCATGCTCTTTTTACTTTTCAGTAAAATTGCAGATTTACATTGAGTCAGGATGGTCTGAGATATCAACTCAGTACTTACCATGACAATAATCCTGACCATGAGAGTGTCCATGGCCATGACCATGAGTGTGTCCATGGGAATGCTTATGTTCATGGCTGTGTCCATGATCTCTGTGACTGTGCCCATGGCTGAGACCACCGTTAAACAGAGAATGGCTGTGCTCATGCCCTATAAACAAATATCACCATTACAGTAAATTTATGAATACATAAGTGATGAATAAAATTACACTTACATTGCTTCTCAGTGATTCAAACCTATTCATCTTTTAGGTCATCTCAAGGTATAGCTTTAAGTAAGAAATTTAACACAAGGTGTTTGTCATCTATGGCTCTGGTGTGCAGACATATTTTTTATATATATGTATATATAGATATATAAAATATACCAGGTTTGAGAAGTCAAGTGCTTTTATACATTCCCACTTCTGAGACTTGTGCTAGACTTCTAGTACAATTTGAAAAATGTACACTTTATTAGATATAAGCACTTTAAAAATAGGTGTTTTAAGAAAGCCGAAATTGACTGTCATTTGCAGATTAAAAATTCAAGTTTAGATTGCTGCTTAAAGACCAAAGACTATGTTCTTCCACCAGTCTATGTAAATTTATATGTTAAGCTCAAAGAGAGGCCCACAGGATTTGCAGAAAAAACCTCAGAGTGCTTACAACGTGTATTTAGGCAAATAAATTCTGCATTTCAATTCAAAAGACACTAAGTTGAGAAATATCTGAAGCAGAATCATCTCATGCTTAAAATTTGGTTCAAATACTGTTTTTAAATTTTCTAGCCAGAACCTTGCTTAAGCCCAGATTAAATTTGTCTAAAAAGATGGCCTGCAAATCTCTTTGAATAAGGTGCAGGAGAGTGCATGAACTACAGAAAGCAGTTTCTGGATTCCTAGGTGTTCCAGTTAGTGGGTATTAACACGAGAAGTACAACAGTGGCATATCAGGGCTGGTAATAAAACACAGAAATCAACATGCAAGAGGTCACATACATATTTGGCTAGGATTGCCATTAATAAGACATCAAATGCAATACTGGGGCTCTCACTGAGGCATTATAAGGCCCTGGAACACGGGGAACAAGAAAGGAAACAGCACTGAAGTTACATCCTACCAGAGCCGTGTGAATGCCCATGACCTCCATGCTGAAAAACAAATATTCCTATCAGATTTACAATGAATCCCAGTATAGAAACAGGAAGAAGTCTCTCATGATGCACATCGGGAGGCTCAAGGGCTCTCTAAGAAAAAGGAGAAACAAACCAAAACGCAAATGTAGAGTTTTACAATCCCTTTATACTATTAAAAGGCACCACAAAACTACTTAGATACAGGAGCATTCTCATATATAACATATATACAGACATAATTTAAAATTACTCAGGACTTACAGTTTTTGGGATGATACACAGACCAACCCACAGTGTCTGAAAATAAAGTTCTATTATTAAAGCTGTGAAAGTACAGTAGAATATTCTGAGTCTAGCTCAGTTTTATCATAAGATTTGCTTATGCTGTGGGATATGGCTCAACACCATCTGAAAGCATTCAGGTTTTTTTCAGTATGTAGATTGCTTAAGTCACCTATAAGACTTCTAAGAGTCTAGAATGCATTTCTTCCTTTCTCCTTAGAAAGGTGAGGCAATGAGGGGAATGAAATGAAGACTCAGAACAAATTATGGCATTTTTTTAAAACTCTCCAATCTAGATTGATTTTTTTCAATTCTTTTTTACCCTACTTCCTCTAGACTATTTTTCTCAATGAGACATTATAGACAAAATACAATTTGCATCTGAAGATAAGTGTTGATGAGTGTAAATTACTACTGGCAGAGGAGAACAACATTCACCATTTCTCCACAAGGATCAAAGGTACAGGCAGTAAATAGCAAGACAATAGAACGTTTAGCACAGTAAAATTTTAAAGTAACTGAGAGAAAGAGAGTTACCATCACAAGCAAAGAGAATAGTTAGCCTGGGAGCTTAGATTAGCAAGAAGAGAATGATATTTCAGCATTACCCTTGACCATGTTACAGTTTTTAATTTTTCTAGTAAATTTTGCTCCTGTTTTTACATTTGAAATTTTCCCAAGCTTTCAGGCAATTTCAGCCCAGTTTTAACTGGTTTTGAAGTATTTACAAGCCTATCAATGTGAAAAAACTCTTCCCAATTCTCTGTTAATAAAAGAAAAACTCAATAGACTTACTATTAAGTTTGTCTAAACAAATCTATAGTGTATTTCCTATTAAAAAGCAAAAGCATTAATTCAAACTGATTAGAAATAGTAATCAGTTTTACTCTTAATCCTTGATGTTGTGCTTAATATCTAAATTTCTATCTTGCAATTTTTACCTTAACCATCACGTAAAAAAAAAAAAATGCAAAAGAGCCCTTGTAAATGTTTAAGCTATTGCTACTTGCCATTTATATCAGACTTCAAGATTTGGAGAACAGTGTTCTTTCTTTAACAAGCTAGTCCAACTTCTCAGCATGTTACTTATTACTAACTTCTATCCTCTGAATGACTAGTTTAGGCCTTTCTTTCTTAGCCTCATTTGTTCTCTAACAATGAGAAGGGAAGATCTCACTAAGACATCCTTAACTGGCTGAAAAAAAAGACAGGCTCCATCTCACAGAATCTTCACACATAAACAAAATACACTATTGCAGAAGCTAGTACAGATAAACTGAAAAAGCTGGGTTTCTCTGTCATTAAACAGCAATTTCAGATGAGCCTATTCTCTGTTCAAATCAGATTTCTAATCAAGTTATGAACATAATTTAAATGTTCAATTCATTAATTTCAATAATTTATTCCTATTAAAACCAGAAATGTTTATCCATATTAATTATACAACGTAATACAGTAATTGATTTCATAACATACCTCCACACCTTCAGAAAAAATGAAGAACGCTGTAAAGATGAGGAATAAGCCATTTACAAAACCAGCAAGTACTTCTGCTCGAACATAACTGCAAGAAACAAAACAAAAAAAAAGTAATAGCACTTTTATTTAAATGCTGAAAATTACAACTTAAGAGACTGGAGTGCAATCTTCTAGTTCTTAGACAGTTATATTACACCAAATGTGCTAAATGGAAGATGACATAAATTACGGATGAATTTATAAAACTGACCATGTTGTACTTGGACAGAAACTACCTGATGCAGATCAGCCATTCTCTGATCTAGATGAAAGAAATCTTTCAGTATGTCAAAATCTTTCCATTTAAAATTACGTCCACCCAAAGTTATGGTATAAATATAATTTGGAAGCCACAAACTAAGGTAAGCACACAAAACCTAATCAAAGGTTTTCTGGTGCTATGTTCAACATCAAACCAACATGTATTAATTTGCTTCCATCTAGAAGGTGGATTTTCAGTAAAAGTTTTAAGTAGAAATTAATTATTTCAAACATCAAATTTTGACAATAACAAACTGCCAGGTTAGAATAATTAGTAATTTCAATGTGGCAAACATCAGACTTTATTAAGTGTGTCTGTTCTCTGATAAATGGAACACCAGCTGTTTAAATGTTCAGCAGTAATTAATACAGAACATGCTTTCACTGCAATTATTTCATGACACAATTCTCTCTAAATTGATTTCTATGCACACTGGAGTTTCCAGCTATATAAAACTGTGCTTTAAGTTTCAAACTATATGATTCACACTTAAGCAAGGCAGCTGAAGCTAAATGCTGACAGATCAATAATGCTATGGGGAATGCCCATGTTGTTTGCTGTTTAAGTCATTTGCTGTTAATCAGTATTACCAATTAATAATATCGTACCACCAGTATTGTTTTACAGGGCACAGCTGCCATGTTCAGTAGAACCAAGTGCCTGCCAAACGCCAGCTGCAGCAGATAAATCCACCAAGGGCAGTCTGGGATGACACACCTCAGCCCTGAGGATCTGTTTAAAGGGCAATCACAGCTCCCAAATCCTGCTGCTTCCAAGAATCATGCCTTATAATCTCCAATGCAGCATCATTGAGACTTGGCTCCTTTCAGTTGTAACCTTCTGTTCCAAAGGAGTGGGACACCAGCAGTCTGGGAATCCCTGTAATGCTCCTCACTGCATTGTGAGGACAAACCCAGGATGTGGCTGCTTGCTGTCCACTGGTGTCATTAATACATGGGAATACAGGACAACTTTCTGCTCTCTAACTTGTTTTCATTAGTATGATCAGAGAGAATTTGGAAGTGATAAACCTTCTTCCCAAAAGCAATGCCTTCATATTTTTATTATTTCTATTAACTTAGATGTTTGCACAGCTCACCTTAAAGAAAATCTCACTTTCAACTAGTTTTTCCATGTTCTACAAAAAGCTTTTGTTTGTAAGTAAAAAATAACTACCTAAGCATTTACTATAGTACATTAAGGTAACAGCCTGAAGTTTCTTACCCATATGAGAAAGCATCGTTTGACCTCCATTTTGAAATAACTGAAGCTGCTAATCCAGCCAATAGAGCAGTACAGTCAAAAAACATATGAAAAGAATCTGATATCAGACCTAAACTGAAAGAGAACAGGAAAAAAACTGTTATGTTCCATATGCTACATGTTGAGTATGAAAAAAAAGCCCCAGAGACATTAATCTTTTATACGCTAGCAGAATACACTGTTTCTAAGCTTCAGGCATGGTTTTGCTAGCACAGAGGAGCAATCCACACTTCATCACCAACACAAATATGATGCCAAAACTGCTTTTGTCAGCTTTAGAGAAGGCACTTTGGAAAAGTGCTTAGCAAAAAAATCCTCCTAGCATATGATTTTGGTGATAGTGAAAGGAGAAACCAAAATCCCTGGAGTAGATGTACCCACAGCCACATCTCTCATCAACATAATTCAACTTTAAATCTTTGCCTTAGCAGTGGCAAGATACTAACTAGGAGATACACACCTCTGAGATCTAGAGGCTGAAGAATCAGAGACTGAGAGACCACATCTTAAATGACTTATTTTAAAGACCAATACACAACTGTTTGTCAGTCTTGATTGAGAAACACAGTTAAAGTGAACCAGCATGCTAGGAGGTTCAAAGCATCATGAGGTAGCCAGTCACTAGAACCCATATCAGTTTGTAGGCTGTAGGTAAACTGTGGTTAATACCACACACAAGCACTGCCAAAGATTACCAAATTTCTCATGAACAGGTTCTGTAAGTCTGCAGGGAAGTACATGCATCGAAACAAAAAAACAATGCTTCATATTTTAAAAGACATTTGATAGAGAGATACTGTTGAGCAATTGTTAATCAATAGTCCCAAAAGTTCCATTTTCCCAGTTCTTTGGTTATCTAAGAATAATTACATGTACAACTCAATTTCTGGAAACTGAAGCACAGGAAGCAATTAGTGGGTTAACGAGTTCTAGAGGATAGACACATATTCACATTGAAGTCAAATACAAAGTTTCATTAGCCAAAGTTCCAACCACTTCCCATTACAAAGCCAAACCATTTCAGCCTCTCAGAAAATAATTAAAAGATTAATCTTAAGTGTTTCAGGTGAAACAGTCAATAGAGGAAGAAGTAGGTTTGAAGGAGAGACAAGATTGTCTTGCTCTATTTATTTATATATACACACAACTATAACATTTAAGGCAGAGGGATGACAGCATGGTATATTGTCCTAAAGGTGCTGTAGCCACCAAAGCAGGAGAGATGAAGCTGTTCTAAACAAACTTTAAAACAAGACCCACAGGCTGGATGCCTATGAAGCAGCAAAATAGAATTGGCTGTAGAATTCTTGAAGGGTTTTGGTGACATCTTCCTCCTCCCCAAAATCAGGCGACAACTTTAGGGAAACAGCTCATTTTAGGTTTGGTTCTGAGCACTTAGGAAAATCCAGTGAGGTAAAAAACCCACCACAAAGCACATCAAATATTCAGGTAGAAGGTAATTAGTGACAGTAACCCTTAGTTGTACTGACTGTGAAATGGAAGGAATAAGCATTGCTAAGCAGAGAGAACTACAGCTTTCTGAGGTGATAGGGTTTTGGTGGTTTTTTTTGTTTGTTTGTTTTTGGTTTTTTTTTTTTTTTAATAGAACCTTCTGGGAAAGAGACTTTTATAAGGACTGCTACTCTAACAAAAAACCCATACAAGTTCTAGAACCAGAAATAATGCAGCAAGTTACCATGGCACTGTGCTCACACCTGCAAATCTCACTAAGGCAAGACTTACCTTAAGTGCAACACCAATACAGCTGTGCTGCTTTCAAGACCTAAGCTAACAATTCCAGGTGGCCAGAGGCACGTGGATTTATCAGCAGGGCTCAGCAGACTGCATCTGCAATGCAATTCACCTCGTAGCATAACCACGCTCTGTATCATAGGTACAGCTACAAGTCATTGAGCTACACTAATAGCATGAAGCCTGGTAAGAGACCAATCTCATTTCATCTGAGGCTTTTTTAAGTGACCTGTAAAGTAACAAGACCTTAGAAAAAATGAGTGCAAAGTGATTACTAAAGTGATCAAATGATTCAGTCACTGACTGCCAATACAGTGAACCACCAGTAACATGGGATGCATGCAAGAATGCAAGAACTCCTATAGAACCAAACTCATCATCCAAAATATAAACTAGTAGAAACCCTGTACTCAAACACACTTTGTCTAAATAAAGACACTTCTGCAGCTGATTTAGTTTAACTTCTAATTAAACAAATGTGCACATGTAGCAAATTTCAACCTTAAACAAGCAAACAAGCTCTCAGCCAGCAAACTCGTGACCAGTGACAGAACTCTAGGAAATGGCATGAAGCTGACTTGGGTGAGGTTTAGATTAGACATTAGGAAAAGATGTTTCACCCAGAGGGTGGCTGAGCACAGGAACAGGCTCCCCAGGGAAGCAGTCACATCACCAAGCCTGACAGAGTTCAAGAAGCATTTGGACAACACTCTTTTCTGAGTTCAGAAAACAATCTATTTGGCAAACAGAAGCTCAGAAGAATTTATCACGCAAGGAGCAACAGAACTGTGTCTTCAAAATGACAAAATTATTCTCCTTATAGGACTCCTTGTTTGCTTGTTACGTGTTCGCTCTTCCAAGGCATGACCTGTCTGCTTTGACTGAAGACATTCCTCGTCATATTCTCTGCTACCCCTCTCTACTAAAGAGGTACTTGCCCTGTTTTGCTCTAGACCAAAATCTAGACTTAGAAATACCCAAAACGACTGACTTGAAATATAAACAAAAGGTTCAGTTAATGGCTATTCAATAAATCCTCATTCTTAATCTCAAGTATGAATAAAAATGAGTGTCTTCTGAATTCCAATATGCCATACTCTTCAGTGACAAATTTCTATGAGTGTCATTAAAGTTTCTCAGTTTAGTTACCTTATATACAGGACTTTTTAAGGTCACACTGCCAAAAAAATTGTTATGTTTAAAAGACAGACATCAGAACAAAGTCACATGAACACAAAGCTCTTTATATCAGAACAGCTAAGAAAAATATTTACATCTGCTGAGTTATTAGAAAAAAAAAATCCATACTCAAATAGACAGACTATGCATTCAATAACTCTCAAACAACTGCAAGGTGAATCAGCATCAAAACCAAAACCAAACACATTAAAAATGGTCTGGGTGCTGCCAAGATAGTCTGTGCCCATGACAGCACTGCATGCTCTCTGGTGCACAGTACCAATTACTGTAATCAGAGTTGAGTATTTCATAGTCATTTGAGTAATTCAGAACAACATTGCAAATATTAGGATGTAACCATTTCCAAATCCACACCACTGCATTCGCTCAGGACTTTTAAGAGGTCCAGTAATTTATGTCCATAGTACAGCTTTTGGTAAGGAGGACACTGCTTGACTTAGATGATATTTCCATGCCAGTCCACTCTGAGCTGAACTATTAAGAGAGACTAAAATATCATCATAAAACAACTACTCTATTGCCAATGAAGCATGACAGAAATACTAGCACCATTGCCCATTCTCTACCTTTATACACCAGCAGTGAAGTTATTCTGCATTTCTTATACTTCGCTACAGCTTTTTCAGTAGCAATTTAGTCAAGTCTCTTCCATTTTTTTCACTCCTGTGAATTTTTGTGCTATGTAAAGTATCACTCAGCTATACAAGCATGTGTCAAATCCTGTTTCTCCCTCGAGACAAGGATGTTTGAGGCAGCATATCCAGGCATCAGCCTACGGATGAAGCCACACTCCCCAACAGAGGATCTCTGTGGGAAACAGCAGCCACAGCCCCCGAGTCCCGTAAATCGGGCCAAGGCCGGGTTTCCTCCTCAGCAAAGCACGGAGCACAACAACCACTCCGAACAGCATTCCTCCGCAGCGCGCTGAGTCGCGGCCCCACTGCCCGAGCGCCTCCGCCGCGCTGCCGGGACCCGGCACAGGGGACGGAGGCGCCGGTCGGTGCCCACGAGAGTGGTTCCTGTCGGGGGAAGCTCTCCAGCGGCCCCCACGGTTCTGCCGAGCGGCCCCACCGGACGGCGGGCGGGAGGCCCGGCCCCGCCGAGAGGAGACGTGGCACTGGCCGGGCGGGACGCGCCGCTTCCTGCGCGCCGCAGCCGCGCTCGCCCCCGCCCCGCTTACCTGTTACTCCAGATGCCGTAGAGCAGCTCCACGAAGGCGAAGGAGAGGTTGAGACAGAGGAAGGAGAACAGGTTGCGGGAAGTCTTGTCCGCCAGGATAGACCTGCGCACGGAGCACACCGCGGGTCACCGGCCGCCGGTACGGCGCCAGGAGACCGGAGCCGCTCGCCGGGCGGGCCGGGCGCCTCGGCACCAGCCAGCACAGCCTCTCCACGGGGGCTCGGCCGCGGCGCCGGCAGCGCCCAGCCTGGCCGGCCATGGGCCACTCACCTGAACCAGCCCGACACCTTCCTGAGCAGGTTGAGCCTGGGCGGCTTGTACTCATCGTCTTTGACGGAGAGGGGCAGCATCTTTCCGGCGGCGGGGCCGCGGCGCGCCGGGCGGCAGCACGGGCAGGCGGGGCGGGAGCGCTGCCCGGCCGGCCCACACGCCGCTTCCGGCCGCCACCGCGCCTGCGCCGCCGGGCACGGGGCTGAGGGGGCGCGCCGGGGGCCGGGCCGGGGCTGCGGGGGCTGCGCCGCCCGCTAGTGAAACACAGCACGCCCCAAACGTGAACTCCTCTCCGTCCCGTGCCAGCCGCTCGCTCGCGTCCCGCTTGTGATGCCGGCTGCTCCCAGCGCAGCTGTTGCGGCAGCGCTCGGCACGGGGCGGCGGCGCAGCGCGCTCGGTGCGTGACAGCCGGAGCCGCCGGAGCGCTCCGCCCGCCGCAGCACCCGGCCTACAGGCCGGAGCCTGCCGGGAGGAAGCGCAGGGACGCACCGCAGGAAGCGGCACGGCGGCGCCGCAGCGGGTCCCGCACGGCCGCCCCTGAGTCACCGGAGCGGCTGGCGCGGGGCCGAGCGGCGGGGCCGGGCCGGTGCCTCCTCCGCCCTGCCCTGCCGTGCTGCCGGTGACCCCTGGGGAGCACAGCCCGGCCGGAGGAAGCGGCGGCAGCGGCGGCTGCGGAACGTGAGCGAAGCTGTGGGCGAGGGGCGCCGAGCGGGGCGGGCGGTGCTGCAGCAGCTGCTGCGGGGTGCTGTTAGAGGTGCTGCCCGCCAAGGGAAGGGGACCCCGTTCGAGAACTCTTTTTCTTGGAACGAGGATTAAAAAACTGGTCTTTGATGTAGCGATTTTATTTTCGTCAATTTTGCGTTCTCTGCAGGTACTATTGTATACTTTTTAAAAAGAGGTCAATCTGGTATTGAAATTTCATAATTGGCAAAACATCTGCATTTGCTTGTTAGAAAGTGCCATGATACTAATTTTAAAACATCTAAATAGGCGTTTATTTTGAGAATATATAGTAATATCATCATTGCCTATCACTACACCTATTGTAACCACTAGAAGGTATGGCAAGCAAAGTCTCATAAACAGCAAACAGTGTTTATATTTTCGTTTCAAATATGCTTTTAAAGTTTAATTAATCATTACAATAGCACTGGTATGTGTTGCATCTAGGTTGCAAACTGCTGAAAGAGGATCTGAGGTTCACTTCTTCAAAAGCTCATTTGATGGGAATATAGAGGACCTCATAAATGCTGTGCTGCCACTGCTGCTAATAATTTTTAGAAGTCGGGCATGATTGTTCCCTATAAAATGAACCAGAACAAGCAGTTAGCTTCTGGAAATAGTTTCAGTGACATCTTGTCATAGTAAGATTTGATCTCAGATTTGGGGAGACCAGTATATGTGGACATAGTCAGATTGGTATATACACAAATAACAAATCTAGTTTTAAGAAGCAAATTTACATAGCCTGAACAAATTACTCTTATGGAATTTCACAGAGGTTCAGTTATTCAATAAATTCAACAAATTCTTGTGCTCTAAACTTTCATAATACCATTATCAAATCAAAATTAACGACTCTGGTCATTTGGTGAGTTTTAAAGGAACAAAATTCTCTCCAACAACCTAGGAGCACAGCTTTCCTACACTGCTGTCCTGAGTCCTGTATATCCTTCTTTTATGTGCTTGCACTCATATCTTCCAAGCTGCCAAACCTCATGGGAAGACCAAATGCTGTGTCTTAAACCTCTGATACAACTGATAATCTTAGTGGGAGTGTGAAGGGTATGACCCAGAAAATAAAATATTGGGATAAAATTTTATTTGCCTGACTGGTAGCCAAATATATATTTTAGTTGTGCCTAATGAACAAAGGAATACCTGTCAGATTCTGAAGACCTACTTATATCTCCATAGCTGGACTTAGGGATGGAACACACAGACATTGCACTGGCGCAAAGCAGCAATTTTACAAGCAGAGAAACAGGCTATTCTTTTCTTTTTAACCATCTGGTCTTCTTTCAGGAGCATTCATTGAAAGGCAGAGATAATTATTCAACTGAGCATTAGGAACAGGAATGGGAGAATTGCCATGAATCCATATATCAGTCAATAACAGGAGGACCTTTTACTTGTAAAAGAATGTTGGGTAGCATGTGGATAACTGTTGATCTCCAGTTATAGAATGCCTTTCATTTCCAGCAGATTCAAAGATCACAAACACTTGCCCTGTAAAAAGAAGCGAGGAAAACAATCCTACGTGGCAACAATGAGGTAAGTAGCAAGGCATTTTAGACTAAAATAATTTACACTCATATTTTCAAGCATGTTATTTGCACTTTGGAAAGAAATTATTCAAAATTCTGTGAAAAAAAATATATACAGATACGCTCTCAAAAATTGTACTTGTTTGGTTGTCCTGGATCACTGACTTTGACCAGAATTCCCTGCTGAAAACCTAGAAATTACTCACAGGGTAGCATGAATAATATGCGTACATGAGTAATGGTATTAAAATAAAATGTATAGATGAGTTAGTAGCAAGCTTAGAATGTTCATCTTCTATTCAGTTTGCACTAATATTGCAAGATAAGAAGGAGTAAAGGAAAACTGTAGTGCAACAAAGACAAGTGCACCTAGATTGGGGCAGCCTTGGATGTACAGACTAGGAACAAGAGGCTGGGGAGCAGTGCCACGGAAAGGGACATGGGGGTCCTGGTCAATGGCAAGTTGGACACGAGTCAGCAGTGCCCTGGCAGCCAGGAGGGACATCCTGGGGGCACCAGGCACAGCATCACAGCTGGGCAAGGGAGGGGATTGTCCTGCTGTGCACTGATGAAGCCTCACCTCTTGGTTGTTCTGTGCATTTTTATAAGAATACAGTATAAGAAGGATATAAAGCTGTTTGAGAGAGTCCAAATGCCCTCAGGCACATGATGGAATTTTGGGGCCTTTGCTGTGCAGAGCCAGGAGTTGGACTTCAGTGATCCTCATGAGTCCCTTCCAATTCAGGATATCGTATCACTGTGTGAAGAACATCTGAGGGGCTATCTTTTTAGAAGCTGCTTTATAAGAGCTTCTGTTTAGTTCCAAGATCATGAGGATGCAGAAACCTCTGCCTTAAACTAAATCTACACTTACAGTTAGCTGATAGGTAGCACCTAACATCTGGCATTGCCTATTTCTCACGAGTTCTAGATGTTGCTGAGATCATTGCATTCCTGCATTACTCCATTTGGAATGTTTCTTTTGCTCCATCTGTGTACTGTTACCTTAGTATGATCAGCATCGCATTTTCTGTACTGATTACCATTATCAAGCATTATACAAACTTCTGACAAAACATCCAGCTAATCAGTTATAAAAATTGCTCTGTGTGGTGCCTGAGCGATGGAAAAAGAGTGAACACTTTATTTCCTCCTTCCTGCCAGAGCTTTGGAGAAGGCACCTTCTCTCCTTTTTGCTTCTCAGTTAAGGTAGAGCTCCTGCAATGCTGAAAACATTGAATCTCTGTACAAATTTGTTTCTACTTTCAGCTGGATAGATTTGGTGAGATATGTAAATGTTCAATCAAAAATGTAGTACTAAGAAAATAGGAAAAAATGAACACTTTAAAGAACTACTCTAGATTTATTTTCACAAAACAATGAAATCCAAAGTTAACCAAAAAGAGTGAAAAGCAAGTAAACGTAACAGGAACACCTGTCTTGATAGTTGAAAGTAATTTGCCAAAATGCTAAAGTCCTTAGTTACTTACTTTAATGAAAATGTACTTAATATTTTGGGAGTTTTGATCAAGAGAGAAAACTGTACACAAGTGTAATGACTTCCTTTCCTGTTACTTGTTTTAAAGGTGTTTTCACTTCTGTAAGCTTCCAGGAAGAGTCATGGGAATCCGCCTCCTGCGCTTCACCTCTGTGGTGATCATCGTCTTGCTTCTTGTGGCAGGTGCTTTAACAGCTTTGCTTCCCACTATCAAAGATGACAAATTGCCCAACTCAAGAAGGGAACCAAAAATCCAGAGTCAGTCTGCCTTGGATTCATTCACTCTTATTATGCAGACATACAATAGAACTGACTTACTGCTAAAGCTTTTAAATCATTATCAAGCAATCCCCCACCTACATAAAGTAATTGTTGTGTGGAACAACATTGGTGAGAAGACACCAGAGGAAATGTGGAATTCCTTGGGGCCTCATCCTGTCCCTGTTGTCTTTAAAGTTCAAACTGTAAATCGTATGAGAAACAGACTGCAGAATTTCCCTGACCTGGAAACAAAAGGTAATCAGCAGTTCATATCATTATTACTAATATTATTTTCATGCTTGAAATCTGAATGCTAAAAGAGAGATGGTTGAATTATACTGTGTAATAAATCAATGGATCTTTTGGACCACTTCATAAAGTGTGGGTAGTATAGAGGAACCCTGTGTTCTGATACCAAGTGCATACCACCACCAGGCTGTCAGTGAAGAGTAAAGGAAAGAAAAATGTTAAATGCATTTCAAGGTCTTTTGCAACAGTTCTCCATTTCCTTTGTGAGGCAGACATAGGTAGTTCAGCTTCTCTTCCTTCTGTAACATAAACTGAAATTCAAAATGTAAGTTATTTGTTGATTGTCTGCACTAATCTGGACTTAAGTCATCTGGTAAAGACTTGATTTAGTCCATTCCTCTTAAAACTAAGTTCTCAAGCATGTTCTGCTCTTCTGAGAAACTTCCCTCCCCAGCTGTCGGCTTTCTATCTCGAATTACGCACCCTTTTATTTAGGAGTACTTTCCCCAGTCTCTTTGGGTATTCATGTAAATATTCTTCCTAAGCTCTTTCTAGGACGTGTACAACAATAAATCCTGTTTGTTTCAAGTGGAAAAAAACCCCAAATGTTGCATTACAGACCTGGCCCTACTCATGATTAGTAAAGGTAATTGTATTTACTGCCCCCTTCCTATCACGCTTGCTAGTCCAGATACATGATTTCTAGAGAGACAGTGGAAACTTCAACTTCCCAAGTGTTCTGCTTACTGCAGTAAGATCTGTGCTAACTGTAAACTTTAGAAGTTTTAATGCATCTGCAGTTCAGATCTAAGAATATCCTTCCTTTTCCACTTCCTGGTAGTCTTTTGTCTAAAACTAAGGCAAAGAGTCT